AAGACCCGAGAGGTGAAGTTGGTCCCATGGTCCGATTATATGACGGTGGGCAACCCGAAAACAGAGAAGAATCCGGTTAAAGCTCTTATCACGTTTTTGGTAGTGATGGAGGACAAAGGAACAGTTTCTGGAAAACGAGTGGCCACATGATGGTTAATAAATATTTACGGCCTGACTTAGAGGGAGGAAGAGGCCCCACACAGTCTATTTAGCAGACGCTTTTGTCCAAAGCGACTTACAAGTGATAATCGGCATGTTGCCCTTGAGGCTAACAACAACAATAACAACAACTTGACATCAATAATGGAGAGGAGGGAACAAAGGAGTGGATGGTAGAGGGGGGGACAGTTGCTGGGGGGGTGCTAGTTTACAAGATGCTCTCTGAAGAGCAGGGTCTTCAGGAGTTTCTTGAAAATTGAAAAAGAAGCCGCAGTTCTGGTAGTGCTTGGAAGGTCATTCCACATTTGTGGAACGATGCATGAGAAGAGTCGCGATTGTCCTGAGCGTGGTGTAGGCACTGCTAGCCAACGATCCTGGGATGACCGGAGCGACCGGGCCGAGACGTAAGCCTTTGCAAGAGGATTCAGGTAGATGGGAGCCGTACCATCTCTGACTTTGTGTGCTAGTGTTAGCAATTTGAATTTGATGCATGCTGCTAGCGGTAGCCAATGGAGCTCATTGAACAGAGGTGTGACGTGTGCTCTTTTTGGCTGATAGAAGACCAGATGTGCCGCTGCGTTCTGGACCATTTGAAGAGGTCTCACAGTACAGGCGGAAAGACCAGTTAGATGGGCATGTTATACAGCGCAAAGCGGCATGAACGAGCAACAGAGGTAACATGATCTTTAAAGGTCAGGTGTTCATCAATCACAACACCCAGATTTCAAACTGCCTTTGAAGGAGCCAGAGATAGGAAGTCATTTTGGATTGAGATATTGTGGTGTAGGGATGGTTTTGCTGGGATGACAAGTAATTCAGTTTTAGAGGTTGAGTTGGAGATGGTGGGATGCCATCCATTTTGATATGTCAGAGAGACAGTTTGATATTCGTGCAGAGACAGTGTGGTCGTCCGGTGGAAATGACAGATAGAGCTGGGTGTCGTCTGCATAGCAGTGGTAGGAGAAGCCATGTGATCGAATGATCTCACCCAGTGAGGTGGTGTATATGACAAAGAGAAGAGGTCCTAGTACAGAGCCCTGGGGAACTCCTGTGGCAAGATGGTGCACCGTGGAGGATCGTCCAAGCAAGATACACTGAATGATCATCCTGTGAGGTACAATTCAAACCAGGCAGGCATGTGCTTTCTCTGTGATGCCCATACTAGAGAGTGTGGACAAAAGGAAGCCATGGTTGACAGTGTCAAATGCAGCCGGTAAGTCGAGCAGGATAAGCACTGAGGATTTGGCAGTCGCTCTAGCTTCTTTTAAGGATTCCGTCACTGCTAACAGAGCAGTTTCAGTGGAGTGGCCCTTTTTGAACACAGATTGGTAAGGGTCAAGCAGACAGTTTTGTGAGAGGTATTCTGTGATCTGCTTGAGGCCCTGTCCACACGTAGTCGGGGATCTGCCAAAACGTAGATATTTTTCTACGTTTTGGCCTGTCATCCACACGAAAACGGAGTTTTTTCACACGAAAACGGATCTTTTTAAAAACTCCGGCCAAAGTGAAGATCTGCGTTTTCTCCGTTTTGGGTGTCTGTGTGTGGACGGACAAAACCGGAGTTTTAAGGTCCGCAACGTCACTTTCCGCGACAAAAAATGCTGACATCATGTGTGCGACCTGTGTTTACACTAGCCGACATCATGGAAGCCTTCAGAGCTGCGCTCTGTCACTACCCGATCCATCAATTGTCCAAGCGCTTTCTGCTTGTTTGTTTTTGCAAGCGGAATTACTGCTCCTTGCGGAAGACCACAGACGAAGGACGAGGTTAAGAACGGGGGAAGTACTGCCACCTACAGGTCTGGCATGTCCATAACAACGTATTTATCCGGGTAAGTGTGGACAGAGTTTGTTTTTAAAACGCGGTGGTGTGGATGCAAGTTTTTGGAGGGGCGGATATTCGTTTTTAAAAAAAAAACGGCTACGTGTGGACTAGGCCTGAAAGCCACCCTTTCAATGATTTTGGACAGAAAAGGGAGGAGAGAGATAGGTCTGTAGTTCTCCACATGATTTGGAGGAAGAGATGTTTTTTTTAGCAGCGGTTTAACCTGAGCATGCTTGAGAGAGGTGGGAAATGTATCAGATGTCAGTGAAGCGTTGATCACATGTGTGACTGCTGCGGCTACTGTAGGAGCAATAGCTTGGAGCAGCTTAGTCGGAATGGGGTCAAGTGGGCATGTAGTAGGGAGGCTGCACGTGAGAAGTTTGGACTGACAGTTCTCAGTGACAGGGTCAAAAGAGGAAAATGAAGCAGTAGGGCTTGAGATGGCTGGGCTAGAAGGAGTTTGTGGTAGCGAATGTTCACGAGTGGCCAGTTGAGTAAACTGTTTGCTCATAGCTGCCACTTTGTCAGTGAAGAATGAGGCAAAGGTGTCAGCTGATAGATTGTTGGTAGGAGGTGGAGATGGTGGGTTGAGCAGAGTTTTGAATGTTGAAAATAGTTTCTGAGAGTCAGTAGAGCTGAGAATTTTGTCAGTGTAGAAAGCTTTCTTTGCATCAGTGATGCTGGCAGAGAATGAGGACAGTAATTCATGAAATTTCAATTGATCACAAGGATCTTTTGTTTTGCGCCATTTCCGTTACGCAGCTCTAAGATTGGTGCGTAGAGACCAGAGGGTATCATTTAGCCAAGGGTGCGACTGAGAGGATCTAGCAGGTCTAGTGGCTAAAGGGCACAAGTTGTTAAGACAAGAGCAGTGTGTGGAGCAGAGTGACTCGGTGGCATCATTCACTTCATAAGCAGAGAACGTGCTGGGAGATGGAAGAGTGGAGGCAACAAGAGAGGAGAAGTGGTTGGGTACCAGATTGCGGAGGTTGCGGCAAAAGTACACTTAAGGGTCATTACAAGTAACTTAAAAGTATATACTTAAGGGGCATTACAAGTAAACTAAAAGTATATTTAAAGTTCAATAGAAGAAAACTAAAAGTTTACTTAAATGTCATTACAAGTAAACTAAACATTTATTTAACCCTTAGGCTTCACTTTAATTTACTTGAGTCATTAGAGAACAAAAACACCCGCTGGTAAAAGTGGATATAAAAAAATGTATACATTAATATTTTTCTTGCCTTTTTTTTCATTGATCTGTTAATAAAACTTCAGCCCTGCTCAAACATAAAAATTCCAATCAGTTTGAGGCTTTTAATCCTTAAAATGCCAGTTTGAATACTCAGTCATTGCTGTAATTTACAGGAAAAAAATAAAAACACAAAAAATGTGTTGTTTTCCCCCAAAAAACTGTGTTTTCTTCCTGGGGCATTTATTATAAATCAGTCTTGGTCATGTTATGAAATATGAAATAATAAAAATAAAACATTTAGGCAACCGATTGATCCTAGCGGACAAAAACGTCCCATTGACTTCCATTCGAAATCACAGATTTTGATTTGGTATCATCTGCAACAAATAACCATGCCTTCTGTGATATTACGGTTTCATTTGGGAGAAAAGTAGTCAAATTCATAATTTTTACTGTTCACCACCAAATTCAGTAATTTCTCCATATGTGGCCAAGGCGAGAAAGTCTACACAGTTCTTTAGATCTTCTGCTGTTTGTATTGAAGTCAAAAGGTCAATCTGACCTCTGATGAGTAAATAAAACACAGTTTGACTTCTCTAAAGTGTAGGAAAAAAAACAGTATGTTTATGCACCTGTCTGGAGCTCCAAAACCTTCCTTTTTCAGGATCAAATAACCATTATTTGTTTGAACCTGTAAAACAATCAGTTGTGGAACGACCCGCAAGCATCCAGCAGACCCCAGGGGGTGTCTCTAGACCAGCTGATTCGTGTTCATTTTCTAAATTCTCCAGGATCTGGAATAGTGTCCATACATCTTTCATTTGCCCTGCGATGGACTGGCACTCTGTCCAGGGTGTACCCCGCCTGATTGCCCTTTGACTGCTGGAGATAGCCCCCCCCCCCCCCCCCCCCCCCCCCCCCCCCCCCCCCCCGCGCGTGGACAAGCGGGTTCAGGAGATGGATGGACATCTTTCATTTAATTTCAGTTTTAATGATCTGATCTCCTTTATTACTATTATGTGCTCTTCCTGGGATGCTGTGTATGCTCCTTCCAATTCCTTAATTGTTGTTTCCAATTAATTTTCCAGTTTCTTCTCATTATTACTGAGAACATTTCAGCTTCCATATCTGAACTAAGCTGGAATTTGTTTTCCTCTTGAGAATATTACTATGAAGAAACGAGTAAAAAGGCAGGTGGAAACTTGTTTTATGAAATTATAAAAGTAACTTAGAAAAACTTCCTGAAAATGTATTTCAAAATAAAACTCTATGGCAACAGGGTAACTCAATCTAAAAGTTCCCCCCCCCCCCCCCCCCCAATTTTAATTTAGCTAAAACCCAATTATAACTATTGCGTAACAAATTTAAACACAATAGATGTGTGGAGTCATCCAGCTACCATGCTTATAAAGCATGAGAAAACCTCTTTTATAAAATTAGAAGTTACTTGCGCTTGGTTGCAAAGTTAAAGTCATCCCCTGCCAAATGTTGTTTTTTGCTGCTGCTTTTGCTGATTTTCCTCTCACTTCACTGGCTGCTCTCACCATCTCCTCAGAGGTTGTTGCACCAAGTCTTTATTTCTTGGTGTGATTTCTACATGGTGTAAAACTATATTAAGAAACAAGCTACTGTTTAATACATTAAAATAAAATTGTATTCATAATGCCAATTATGGTTGCCATGTGACTTGTTTATCGGTGGCTTAGCTTACCTCACTTTGGCAAAAATGAGCTAGCTTACCAATTCAAGCTAAACTTAAGCTAAGGTTCATATGCAGGCAAATCCATTGTAGTGACCACTATGGTTCGGAGTAGATTTTTCTTGGAATAAAAACTGTTTTATTGCTGTTGAAATAAAAATGTGTTATTTTAATCTGTAAAAATGTATTTGTTCACAAACAAACAGTTTGTACAGTTTCCTTTTTATGTATGACACAAAACAAAAGCAATCACTTTAAAACCACCTGGACTGTGTAGCCAGACTAAACCAGATTTTTATCATTTGACTTCAGTTTTCAAGTGTTAAGTCAGCTGGACACAGCTGTCTCGGCCTTGTCTTGGTTGTCCTTGGGACGGACAGATGAGTCATCCTCTCTAGAGAGCAGATTGTTTTTGCGAAGCTGGCAGGCCTCTTGGTAAGGGGGGCATATAGGTGGCTGTGTTGGGGGAGTGTACTGGTACTGTTTACCACCATCAATCTGAAAAACACAAGAAAGTCAGAAGACAAACGACTTCAATGGGATCATTCTTTTCATTGGTCTTGAACAAGAATTTCATCATTCCAAAATTTCCAACCCGAGTTCACTTTCAGGTCAGATTTCATCTTAATTTCTCTAAATTGATGTAATTCAAAGAATTTATCTTTAACAGATAAGATACACTGAACAAAAAATATAAACAACATTTGCTCCCATTTTTCTTGAGCAGAACACTTTTCCTTTACCAAGATAATCCATCCCTCTTCACAGGTGTGGCATGTCAAGGGGCTGATTAGACAGCATGAATAATGTACAGGTGTGCCTTAGGCTGCCCACAATAAAAGGACACCCTGACATGTGCGCAGTTTATCTTTGGGGGGGGGGGGCATAAAACCTTTCAGTAATGATAAATGACCTGCACTTGTATAGCGCCTCTCAGAGTAAGGACTCCAAAGCGCTTTACACTACAGTGTATCATTCATCGATTCACACACACATTCATACACTGGTGGAGATGAGAAGCGAGGCTGCTGAGCACAGGCGCCACCGGACCCTCCGACCACCACCAGCAGGCAAGGACACGACAGCAGAATTCTCTGTCCGGAGCTGGGATCGAACCTGCAACCTTCCGATTACTGGACAACCCGCTCAACCTGTTGAACTACTGCTGCCAGTATCTGGTGTGGCCACCATTTGCCTCATGCAGGGCAACACATCTCCATCCCACAGAGTTGATCAGGTTGTTGATTGTGGAACGTTGGTCCACTCCTCTTCAATAGCTGTGAGAAGTTGCTGAATGTTGGCAGGAACTGGAACACGATGTCGTATACACTGATCCAGAGCACCCCAAACATGCTCAATGGGTGACATGTCTGGTGAGGATGCTGGCCATGCAAGAACTGGGATGTTTTCAGCTTCCAGGAATTGTGTACAGATCCTTACAATATGGGGCCGTGCGTTATCATGCTGCAACATGAGGTGATGGTCGTTGATGAATGGCACAACAATGGGCCTCAGGATCTTGTCACGGTACCTCTGTGCTTCAAAATGCCATCAATAAAATGCACCTGTGCTCGTTGTCCATAACATATGCCTGCCCATACCATTACCGCACCGCCACCATGGGCCACTCGTTCCACAACACTGACATCAGCGAACCGCTCACCCACACAACACCAAACACACAGACTGCCATCTGCCCTAAATAGTGAAAACTGGGACTCATCTGTGGACAGAAAGCCTCTCCAATGTGCCAAACGCCATAGAATGTGAGCGTTTGCCCACTTAAGTCGGTTATGTCGACGGACTGCAGTCAGGTCCAGACCCCTTGATAAAAGCTGGTTTATTCATTTGGGTAGGAATGGGACACATGGCCTAAAATCTATTTCACATTATTTTCTTTTTTTCTATTTATTTAGGTCAAAATGAAATGAGGAATTTCAGCAGAAAAGATATTTATAAAAATTATTGAAGAACATTTAATGTTCAAAACTTATTTTAAAAGACAGAAAACCTGTCAAGTAGTTGTTATGTTGTTTTGATTCCTTATTTCAACAAAGCAACAAAAATCCTCATAAAATGAATCAAAGTGAAGATATTTAAACAAAATACAAGCTAAATGTGAAAACACTAAATTATAAATTGAACTGAAGTGAAAAATGTAAAAACAGAAATATCATTTTGATCCATTTATTAACATCCTTTTCACTCTTGTGCTGCTTCAACTTCAGCTGCAGCTTCCCCCAGCAACATGAAGATTGGTTTATGCTTGACGCATCCGCGAGGTCCGCACGGCTCCGCGCGGAAAAGTTGCGTCATTTTAACAACCACGCCCCTCCACCACGTCTCTGCACGGCCCAGAATTTCCGCAACGCGCACCTCGGAAAATTTCTAACCACGCGGACGGACGGACGTGGAAAAACATGGCGGACCGGCAAGAACTAGTATGGCAGAGGTTCGTAAATATAGACATTTGTATGATTCAGCTCTCAGAGATCACCGTGATCAACACGTGGTTAATAACTCTTGGAGAGAAATAGCTCGCACTGTCGGAAAAGACGAGGACGCTGTTAAAAATGCTGAAATGCCATGTTGTAAACAGTAATTTCTACTTCTACTATGGTGTAGTGTTGGATGCTTGCCGTAGAGCTCCATGCTGCCCCCTACAGTTTGGGAGAATATTGGCTCACCGCAGAGACAAGCCGCACGAACCATAAACGCTGCGAGTTGTGAAGCGCGTTCCATCCGCGAGCCGCATCACCGCGCGGAAAGTGAATGTGTCAAGCATAAACCAAGCTTGAGTCATACACCTAAAATGGTGCTGAAGGGGTGTGGTTGACATGCAAGTCACGTGTCTGACCAGGACCGGTAGTGAGCACCACAGGGGAACAAAGACGAGGCTTCTTTTTTAACACTTTAACCTTGTTTAATACGAACCGTTTATACGTCACTCAACAAACAACAAATACAAAGTTAAACAAGAAAAATCTCAATTTTTCTTCCAGCAGACATTTGTGCTCCATGAAAAAAGAAAATGTGTGGTTGGTCTTCACATGTATGAATTACTCGCCCCATGTCATTTATTGGACTGACGACTAGCGGTGGGGAAAATGATGCAAACCACCTAACCCTAGTTCAGTCATTTTCTCGTGTATTTGTGGACAAACCGTCTCTGGATCTTCTTCTGGAGGCTGCTTTTGCACTAAATGAGGGGTCAAAGATTAATCACGTAAGAGGGGTCGTCTCTGTCAGCGAGTCTTCTCACCTGCAGGGAGTAGGTTCTGTCAGAGTCGAAGGCGCTCAGATCACCACATGCCAAGAACGGAACAATAACACGGTTTGGACCCTCCAGCTGGTTAAAGTCAACATCTACAAGGACAGCAGCCAGAAGTCAGTGTGAACAAAATACCCGATCATTCATAGCTGAGGTATCAACCCAACTGAAAATCCGAGTGAGAAGGCCAACTGCAGCCTGTTAGAATCATTATAGTTACCATAAGTCTGGTCCAGCAGGGGGTTGGACATGTTGGGGACATAACCCTCAGGGGGACAGTAATTCTGACAAACAACAAACGCCTCTGCAAACACAAACACACATGGAGTAGAAAATACATGGTGTGTGTGTGTGTGTGTGTGTGTGTGTGTGTGTGTGTGTGTGTGTGTGTGTGTGTGTGTGTGTGTGTGTGTGTGTGTGTGTGTGTGTGTGTGTGTCTCACCAATGCTGGAGTTTCTGCTGCTACGAGGCTTAGAACAGGTCACTGTGCTGAAGAAGATCTTCAGCTGAGAGTACAGTAGCGTCACATCTTTACCTCGGAAGATCTGAGCCATGCAAGTCAGACAGCAGACACGACCAATCAACAAAAAAGCACGGCTTACTGTCTAATTTCCTGTTGCTCGTGTACTTGTGAAATCGTTTCCCTGGATAACGGAGGAATGAACACTGAGAGCTGCAAGCTGGTCTCACCTTGGCTACAAACGTCCCTCCAGGCTTCAGGACATGGGTGGTGATGTTTAGAGCCTGAGAAGAAGCAGCTGTCAGCCAGGAGTAACTAAACACCTGACAGGTGACCACAAACACCTGAACACTCATACAATATGTTTTTTTCGTCCCCACGGAGGAACTTGTTTGGACTCAAAAGTACTCACGGCCAGCAGGAGCTGAGCTTGGATGTACTCGTCCACGTCGTGAAGCCCCGTTACTACAAACAGCAAACAGGACAATGAGGACAGACCCCAAAATCTAAAGAGAAGAGGTGGGACACGGTGGAGCTCACCGTCTGGAGCTCCATCACACACCACCAGGTCTGCTGGCTGCCCCTCAAAGTGGCGTATGATCTCCTGAGCCGTTGACACCTGAGAGGAAACATGACATGAGTCACAGGACAAAAGCAAACACCGCTACAAGGACGAGGAAGCGCCGGTGTAATCGGGTCGTCTCTCTATTAGGTTACAAGTTATTATGTAAAAATCGGATCTGGCCTTCATGCAACAGAAAAACTAAAGCAGAACTAAAAACATCTCCCACGGTAACCAAACAGAAACCATGTTGCAAAACGGATTCTCGTGGGATATTTGAACGGTTTCCCCATAACTTCCAGTCTAGACTGGAAGCAGCCCAGAGAAGTACTGGTCTGCGTTGGGGCTCAGCTTCAGACTTGGGACAAAAACCTGAGAAGATAAGAATCTGATGTTCAAACACATTTGTGGCGGTGCGGCGGGACGAGCACGTCTGCGTGACGGCTGATCTGATCTGATCGGGTGTGTGTAACCCCGTCGTAGCTGCTACTCGCTACAACAGTAAATAAAGCTGAAACTAGGGCTGTCGCGGTTGAGGAATTCCTCCTGCGGTGATTCAGGGTGGCTTAATATTGCGGTGTGCGATATTATTGCAGCCCTTTTTTTATTGCAGCACTATCTAAACATAATGTTTACACATTTAAAAAAGGTTAAAAATTGCCGTGCCTTCTTTTATAACACTTTACTGAATGCAGATCAAAGGGCAGTAACAACACAGATCGCAGTAACGTTTGTTTGTCCGACAGTCGGAGTCCGACTGAACTTAAAAACAACAAAATTCAGGAGGTCAAACTTTTAAATGCAAATTTGGCTGCAGCATCTAACAAATAAGAAACAAGTCCCCATTTTGTTTAGTTGTTTAAAATCAAGCATAAAAAATTACATGTACCGGGCGCGCGCGGGGCGGGGGGTTGGGGCGCACTATCATTTCACTTTCACACACACACGAATGACGGTGATTTATAGCTCGGTCACGTCCTTGTTACCTACAAGGAAAACCAGCATGTTAACCTTATACGGTTTGAGAGAGGATCTGAGAGGGGTGGCAACATTTCCAGCAACACTGAAAACCCTCTTGGATGGTGCGCTCGTTGCACTAACGCACACGTACCTGCGTGCGACTCTGGCGAGCAAAGGGAATCTCTCCCGGTTGTTGCTCCACCATGTCAGGGGGGTTTCTTTAGGGTGGATGCGTTCCTCCTGCAGGTAGCGAGTGAGCTCCAGCTCGGCTCAAACTCTCTTCGGGACGGTTGCAGAAGCAGTGCTTGTCCGGGACTTCAGCAGGTCTCCGAGCGTTTATTATTATTTTTTTGCCGCTGGTGGCAGCTCTGTCCCGGCCAAGGACTCTGGCTGCGCAGCAGCTGACGTACTGAAAACCAAAGTGCTCCCAAAGGAGCGAAGTAACGTTTCGTTTTGACACCAGTGCAGCCATCCTTCTCAACATGCATCATTGAGTTGAACCAAGTTCAGTAATCGCGGTGGCCCATGATGCAGCGCGGTGGGCTTCTTCATATTGCGATATTTCATTTTTGCGGTTACCGCGACAGCCCTAGCTGAAACACTACTGATCTTATTATGATCACCACCTTAGTGATGTCCCCCTGAATCTGAGTGACTCCTGGCAGAGGGGCCATGGCCTGCAGGTCCACCGCCACTATCTTCACCCCCTCAGCCCCCCCGGCCTTCTCTTCTCGCTCCCTGGGGACAAGAACAGAATATGTCTAACATCCATCCAACACTAGGCTTACATTTGAGTTAAGATATTGATGATGAGTTTATATTTGACCCTCTGAGGAAGGCTTGTGTGTCAAAATGGGTTGGAGGATTTTGACCATGACTATCCCATCAAAATAAGGCGTCTAAATCATTTATTTAGGAAGTGGCTGGGTACATATTAGCATTCTTAGTGTAAGGATTCATCCCATCAAAGGGGAACCTCAGCTAAACCCACAAAGAATCCAAGAACTGCTCCTTCACAGTTTAGAAAGGTGAAGCGACCTGAGTTTTCGACTGAGGACTTGACTCCAGCTGCCGGGTGCAGCGCACAGATCCACCGCTCTGTTCACACCTGAAAATAGACATGTGGCACATTTACCGACCCACAAAGAACAGAAGTGTAAGTGTGTGTGTGTGCACGCGCGTGTGTGTTCTGGACCTCACCTGTGAACAGGCTGAACTCCTGGTCGAGCTGCAGCAGTTTAAAGGCACTCCTTGCTCTCCATCCCTCCTCTTTGGCCAGACGGTAATAAATGTCCCGCTTGTCTTTAGAGGAACGACCCATCCTGATGTCTGACAGGACAGGACACACACATGCAAACACACACACACACACACACACACACACACGTGCACAGGTTTGAAATACTGAAGGTTACATTATGTGCCTACCTGTTGCAAACATAATAAAAACAGCCACATCCCTGTGTTGACACATCACGTGAACATATAAAAACATGTAACTGAGCCACCACCAGCAGGCAGGAGGGTGGGGGGCCCGCCTAAGGAGGCATCGCCTGACACAGAGCGGTGGTTCGCGCCTCCAACCCCACAGAGGGGGCAAACATCCTACCTTCTGAGCTATGACTCTATACAATGTTAACCAATCAACTTAGTTTTATCCAAGCTTGTTTTATAATTCATGCATTAATAACATTAAAAATAAGTAGAAGGAAAAACTAATTCCTACAAGCCAACTTTTCACAGCCGTAACAGGCATGGGGACCGAGCTCTAAAGATTACATTATTGCTATAATTTGTTTCTAAATCGCCTATTTGATAGCTAATGTTGATCATATCAGACATTAAATATGTAATGGCAGGCATCTTCACAAAGGTCTGAATCACACAGCAGGCAGGGGTCGGCTTTTGCGCATGTTTTTCACGTGCATCTTTACCAAAATTTTCTGGGATAGTTTTCACTCGTGGTTAACGCATAATAATTTCATCATACGCTCCTTATCTTTTTAAGACATCAAGTATGGTATTAGTTTGCAAAATAAAATGCAGCAATTCACTGTCAATAATTTGATTATTTTCGCCAAATTCTTTATACACAAATGTAAATTTGGCAATATCAAACCGATCTTTATTGTTTTTTTAAAGAACTTGCATCCCTTATGGATTCTCTTAAATTATGTAGTTCCAAGAAAGCCATTTGGCTCTATAATAACTTGGTGAATGTTTCCTTTACCCCTAATAATGTTGTTTGATGTAATATATTTATTTATTTTTTGGTTATGATTTCTGCAGGTTGATATTGAGCTAGGTTAATATTATTGTTTCTGTTTGTACACCTGCTTTTTTGTCATGCTCAGAATTCAACTGTAAATATTGATTCTTATGTAAGCCTGTAAGCTTCATTGGTTAAATAAAACTTGTTAAAAAAATAAAAATAAAAAAGGGGTGTACTTTTGCGTCAAACATGGCGGAAGGACCTTTTTTGGTCAGAGGGTAACAGGAAGGTTTAGATTTTGCTGAGACGTTTTCACCGTGTTATTTTAACAACCTTTACGTTCAAACAGGTTTTAAAGGCACATCTTAACAAGAACGAAATCCCACTGGCATGTTTGAGACGAGTACGTGGAAAATCAGACCGGAAATGAAACGCTGTCTCCCTTTCAGGTTCTCTGGGTCAAAGCTGACTTATTCCAGGCCTCTTAACATGGTGGTATTCGTTTCTCCATACAAACGTTGTCTCGCTTTTATTTCTTTAAGAATTTGGTTGTTAGATTACATTAAAACAAACATGTTAGCGGTGTTTTAAAAGGGGTTTCAGCTCTAGTCTGTCCAGCAGGACGCTCATATGTGTCTGCAGACTTCCCATTTCTTTAGTTATTAAATATTGTCGCGGTAAAATGTCATAACTTTCTACATAAACATATCTCCTAAATTCTACTCACACGTTCGGCTCTTGACGACTGGAAAGACCTGTGGTAGCCTTGATATTGCCCGTTTTAAAATCACTCGCTTTGCTGTTAAATTTCCCCATAAAATACATGAAAGAAATGGATTAGAGATTTATTATTATAATTAGTAACATAAAAACGCGCTGAACATATAATTACTTTGGTTCCTTTAAAAGCCAAAGAAGAGGGCGCTTGATCCGACTGCAGGCAAAATGCTAAGGCTCCTTCTTCACTTTAATTTGCTTCTGCTGGAAATATGTCGCTCTCTGGTGGAGATTTAGTAACTTTACAACAACAATCATTTTCCTTCCCTGAGCCTTTACCAATTTCTGAGCAACAATAAGTAAAGGAAATTTTCAATAAAATATTCCGAGCTAACAAAAAGCAAGCATACATGCTACTACCAGCAGTATTTTCAAAAGGACAGCGGATCAGAAGATGGCAGCTACTTGGGGACAAGTTTAAAAGTAAGTCAGCTAATTTAAAATGTTTTTTTTTTTTAGATCCAAAGAAGTTATCTATTGTTGGTTAGTTGCTTATTAGTTGCAGCTTCGGTGGCTAGCGGGTAGTAACTCACTTACATTTTTAATTTAATAAACATTTACACAATTGAATAAGTAAAAGGCTCGTTATATATTTATATTGAAACGAATACGTATAAAATACCTCCCATGTCAAGTGACGTTACGTGACCGCTGTGGAAGCTGTGGTCAAGTGATGCAAGTCTGTTCCATTTAACTGTTTTCTTTGACCAAGGAAGGACAGTGTCCTTGTAAGCAAGGCGCCTGGCCTCGCAAGACATCGCCTCGCAAGACAAGGCGCCTTGACATTGAGAAACTAATGGGCCATTCCCATCTGTACCGGGTCGGCCCGGGCTGGGTAGCGTAGGTTGTTTACATATCTGGGTGGCCTGGTATTTTTCCAGGCCAACCAAGGCTCATTCTCAGCCCTCTTCTTGAGGGGGTCTGCTTCAGGCCGACCAGGGCCAACACACCCACTGCTGACAGCAAATTCACACCTTCCATTGGAGCAAGCCTCTGATTGGTGGGTAGAATCAGCCCACATGGGCTTAAGACAAGGATGTGTGGAATCAACCGGGCCAGGCTGGGGCCGACTGGGGCTACCCGGCCCGGGCCGACCCGGTACAGATGGGAATGGCCCAAAACACCCCATGTCTCAGTCCTCCACCACCACCCTCTCCCATGGTGTCCCACAAGGTTCTGTGCTGGTATCTCTACTGTTCCTCCTCTATCTGCTTCCTCTTCAGCACTTCCTGAGCTCCTTTAAATGAATCTTCTACCATTGTTATGCAGATGACATCCAACTGTACATCTCCTTTGAGCCCCATGAGATGTCTAAGCTGCAGCTGCAACACTCCTGCTTAGATTTGATTAAAACCTGTATGGCTGGGAACTTTCTACAGCTGAATGAAGAGAAGACTGACTGGACCTGACTTTAAAATTGTGAGGACATGTGACTGGTCTTCACAGTGAACCCCAGTTGTATGGTATGGATTAACTTTTAGTTTAGGTTAGGGTGTGATATGCATTTATATTCAACACATCCCCTCTCCCCTTCCTGTGTCAATACTTGTAGAGCCACCTTTTGCTGCAGTTACAGCAGCAAGTATTTTGTGGTGTGAGTGTCAGCTTTTCACATCTAGAATCAAGTTTTTGCTGTAACAGTGTTCACGCTCACTCAAGCTGAATGGAGAGCTTCTGTGAACAGCAGTTTTCAGGTCCTACCTCAGATGCTCACTGGGATTTAGGTCTGAAATCTGACCGGGTCGTTTTAACTCATGAATATTTGATCTACACCATCCCACTGTAGCTGTATGATTAGGGTCATAGTTTTGCTGGAAAGTAAATCTTCTCAGTTTGAAGTCCTTTGCATCCTCCAACACGTTTTCTTCCACGACTGTCCTGTCTTTGGCTCCACCTTGCTGAAGAAAGCACCCCCACAGCATGATGCTGCCTCTGCCATGTTTCACAGTGGGGATGGTGTGTTCAGGGTGATGAGCAGTGGCACTTTCCCTTTGCATTTAGGCTATGGAGGCCACAACTTAATGGACAGCTATAGGCTTGGTTTAATATTTGGTTTGTAAATAATAAAACAGCCTTGCAGAAGCATACTTCTATAAGCATCAGTTCACAGTTGTAGCGATTTATTTCTCTTTGCTAGACGATTTCTTTGGTAGACATACTGGGTCTGGAATAATTTACATTTTTTTACAGCATGGTTGGGATGAACTGTAGACCATAGGGGAGACTGCACGTTAGCTCAATCTGACCAATCGGAAAAGAGCTGGGGTAATGTCATCAATAAAGTCAAATAGAGCACACTGACAGCCTCGTGTCTGAGGTGAAAGCGTTTTTTTTTGTCTTGATACAAAAAATGATCTTTCAGATAAGAAATTAAAGATTTTCTTCCCAGTTTTTTGCAGTGTTTGTTACAAAGCTCTAGTGTAATGTGATGTGTTGCATTAGCGCTAGCTTTGAAACTAAATGCTAAAAACGGCTTTAAAAGGCTGCCTGGCATGGGGAGCGTCAGAAATTTTTCTGTAACAATTGTGAAGGGTAAACTAAAGGAAGTCGATAACTGGATCATCCCAGTTGGGGAGAGCTGGAGAATACACATGGCTTGTTTAACAGTAAATATTCTGATTCACATCAGTGTGCAACAACTCTTACTTAGACATGCAACACTCAAAGATCACAGAAATGATTTTATATTTAACATTCAGGGCTGTCTCAGTATTTCGCCTCTCTGTCCCCAGACAAAGATCAAACTGCTTTTCTTTTCTTTAGTCGTCATTTGTTAAAATAAGAAAATATAAACAAACATATAAACTTAAAGATCAGCCAGCAAAAAAGATTTTTCATAAATCCTTTAACAAATATTTTAATATTTACAAAATAGATTGTCACAAATGACACATTTGTTACAAATTGTATCAATCAAAATAAAACAATTAAAGCTCATTAGACTTTCCAAGTGTATCTAGCTGTCTGGCCCTTCTGAGCAACAGGAAATGACCCTACTCAGTCAAAGCCGAGGCTGAACGAACCCCGCTAACATCAGCGTCATCATTTATCTGTGAAGTACAAAAACATGTAGGTGCTTCTAACAGAAAACAGTTATGCATGAACAACCAACCATAAAGCAGACAAAAGAGCAGTGTGGAGGCTTTAGTGACCTCTAGTGGTGTAGCCAGTAACCTTCACTCATACAGAGGCAGCATGCTGAACTGGGCCCTCATTTATCAACTCTACTTACACACAGAGGTGTGTGTGGGAAGATCTTTATGCACTGTGTGGTATGTACCATTTTGTACCCCGATCTCACTGTTGTTGAGGGTTTTTTTTACCTCGAGAGGAATGCAAGGATCCTCATGAGCTGTGACCAAAGACGGTTAGGGGCGTTTCTGTGCGTAAATGACTAAACGGACACGGCTACACACAGCTGGGACTTCTCTTCAGTCGATTGTGGAGAAACATGCATGCGAGTGTCGTGTTTCATAAATGAGGATTTTGAAGAAACATTCTAAATTTCATGCATAGGATGGATTATAAGACAGCTTCTACAAACGTTTGACAAATGAAGACCCTGGATGATTGAGCAGAAAACAAAGCCTGAAGATTAAAAAATAACCAAATCAAATGAAAAACATCTGGATTGTGTTGCCATCAGACTTGACTAAATACTACACACTGACATATTGGAAAAAAATACTCTGGAGGTTGGATAATACACATTAAGGCCCCGAAAAGAATTCCTTTAATTTCTGATTAACAGAGCACCCATTCAGGACCTCCAGACTCCCGCAAGAGATTCGCTCACTCACTCACACAGCAGCAGTCGTGCTGCTGCTGAACTGTAGTCCCGTCTACAGAACAGCCTCCTGCATAGATAACTCCATGGGTATTCTGTTGGCTCGTCCCCTCAAGAATCAGCTGCTACTCCTGTAACGGGAGAGCAGTTTGCTCCTGTACTAAATCTGATTAACGTAAGGCTAAGTTACAGGTGACATTCTTTTCTTCAGTGTTGCAGTAAAATCTGAAACTGTGTCACAGTAACACCAGTTCTGGTCCCAGGATTGTTGTTTTGTACCAGGTTAGGCTCCGGTTCTGCTGAAACACCGGACCAGCATCTTCAGGTCCAGTAGAAACATTCTCGGCACTGCTAAAGGGTGGCAAGTATCCTAAGAAAGGAGATGAGGAGGACGCAAAATGACTGTCCAACACCAAAAACAAAAGCCTCCAGAGAAATCATCGTCTTTCCTGCAGCCTTGTACACGCCAGCAACGGCTGCACCTAAAACCACAGTAGGTTTTGTTAGTATGCACACATAAACAACGTCATGAAATGTGTGTACCGTATTTTCCGAACTATAAGCCGCTATTTTTTCCCACGCTTTGAACCATGCGACTCATAATGAGGTGGGGCTTTAGTCAACCAGAAAGGATGGATGCTGGAAAGTCTAATGAAGGAATGGTTAAAGGAGTGCTACGGGAAGTGCCCAGGAGGATTTTTTTCACAGTAACACGGCGCTGCTTGTTTTCCCAGCTTCACCCCGGGATGATGACAGCGACTGGACAGCGACACTGACATCGCCACAGAAAAGGTACGTGACGAAGCTCTTCTGAGGCTGTTCAACTCAGACACTGAAGAAGATGATGACTTCAGTGGTTTCGGTGCGCAGGAGGACGATGAATAAACTAATCAATAACTTTTCTGTTTTGTTTGATACTGATCAGTTCAGTTACGTCCAGTTAAACTACGTTTTCAATTCAGTAGATATCTGCGGCTTTTAGCCCGTGTTGCTTATATGGAGGTGCGCTCTATAGTCCGGAAATTACGGTATATATGCATGTACGGATATTTTTATTTTATTTAGAATTAAGAGCACATTACACACCCATTAGCAGGGGTGTTTAACGACTGCTGTTATGACATCAGAAACTTGACTTGACTGAGGAAGAGCTATACAAACATATGCATCCCAACAGAAGACTCACTAGTGAGAAGTCCACCACAGACCGGACCCACAAAGCCCATGAGGAAGATGGCCACAGGCATGAAACGTGCTACCTTGTGCTGGCGCAGTGCAGCGAGAGAGATCAGAGCTGCAGGCAGGTGGAAGATCAGCGAGGAAACGGCTGCCCACAGAAAAACACCGTACCACATTTCTGTAAAAAATAAATCATCATTCTTCTTAATGCAGCAAATATGTTAAAACTTACATTTGTAATGCATCAGTGCACACAAAACATGAAACACATCTCCATCTTATTAGAGTGAATGCTCTTTAAAACAGCAAAAAGAGGCCTGAAAGCAAGGTTTGAATTATGGGGGAGCTAAAGGGGACCAGGCTCCCAGGAAAGGGTGATGGGCCCCCTTAAAAGCCCTCAACTTACACATCCAGGGGAGCCCAAGGAAGATCCTCTTTCTAGTTAGATCACATTACTCATACGGACTCCCAGCATACCAGGATTCTTTGGAGCGGAGAGGACGGCAAGCGCTGATCGTTGATGCGCTCCAGGCAGCTGCGTCCCGCACACAACTAGGGATGCACCGATCCCATATTAATATCTGTATCAGTACAGATATAGAAGAAAATTCTAGATCGGGTATCGGAGACGATTGGCCCGATCCATAAGAATTGATCTTTTCAGTATAGGTCTATGTGCTGTGAGTGACAACGTCATGTGCTACAGTCCCACGCTGTGCAGAAGCTCACATAGATTTGAAAATGGAGCGAGCAAAAGGATCGGCTATTTGGAACGTTTTCACTCAATTTCAGCTCTTATTTATTCACATTGTATTTTCCATTTTGAACTTACTGAGCCTTTTAAAAGAGGGTTTGTTCCATTTTATTTTAAACAAAGTAGTCAAGCTACTATTGTCAGTCTTGGGTTCTTTATTAGTTTTATAGTGGGTGTTCTACCACTAATTGCACTGACTGAGCAGGGTAAACTTTTAATTTTTTACAAGTTTTACAAACTGTGTGAAGCTGATGGTTTAAAATAAATGTTTATTCTTTACATTTGTCTCTTTTATTTTTTAAATAGGAAAATATTGTGCCCCTGTACACAAGGATGATCCCAGTCTTTTTCTGTGTAAAATCCCAGGTAATTTTCAAAATAAAAGCACTGCAGTGATGCAATTTCATATATATGAAGTTTACGTGTGACCCAATGGCTTTTTTTACTCACAGCATCGTTCCAGAAGTGCAGCGGAGTTTTTTTAATCCTGGCTGTGGAGAGGTACAACATCAAATATGACATCAAACGTGATTTCCTTCTTTTTGGTTTAATGGCGGATTGCATAAACAAACGGTGACTTAAAGTCTCGAGAGATAGGTGTTTTCAGAAAATGTCTACAAACATCGTAGATCTCTACGACCTCAAAGGTAACAAATGGAGCTGACGTTTCGTTACTGCAGAAAATAAATCACTTGTGTAAACGCAGCCCCGCTTCAGCTGATTTATAATCAAGTAAAAGTAAAAAGTAGCCGTCTGAATGCGTGATTCCACTAATGCGCTGTGCCAGGTCTTATTTTCTGGATGGGCCTTAATTAAACAAGTTATTATCAACACAAGTTACAAGCAGGTACGAAACAATACCTCCAACAGAGGTTAGCTAGACATGTTTGTTTTCATTTTGACCGACAGTTAAAAAAAAAGTCATTTTCATTTCTCAAACAATAAATAAAAATTCACTATTTAATTTTCATTAATATTTAGTCTAAACAAGCCAACCATTGTTTTCGGTAACATATTAATGTTTTTATTTATTTGTGTTTGTTTTATTTATTTAGACGTTCTGGACATTCCAATGCTAAATAAAGTTAAAAAAATGCATTTTAAAGGGTATACTTGTTTTATTATGACATATTAACATTACATAGGTGATTATTTTGGTCTCGATAATGTTGACAATATGGTTTATTGTTAATTTGTTGAACAATATATCGTCCAGCAAAATGTGTTATCATCCCAGGCCTAGTGTAAGGACTACATGGTATTAATAACAGGTAATTCATGGTATTAATAAAGGGTAATACATGGCATTAATAACAGGTAATACATGGTATTAATAACGTAATACATGGCATTAATAACAGGTAATAAATGATATTAATAACAGGTCATACATGGTATTAATAACAGGTAATACATGGTATTAATAACAGGTAATGATCTGAAGTTGGAGAGCGCCTGCCATGTGTCTGCCTGCTGAACAGGTAACCACCTGCTCCTCGTTGGCCAAATGTGTGCTTCTTGTAAAGCTTTATTCATGTACATCATCTGACAACAGCCCTGCAGCCAAAATCCATAAAACAGACCAAGGTGGGGTTTGACCCAGACGCGCAGCTGCTGCGAGGAGGACTCACCGGAAGTGTAAACCCAAACCTGGAAGCGACGTTACCATGCGAACCGTGATCAATGTAACTTAATTCTGGATTTTCTGGTGCAGACATGTTATCAACCAGACAATAAACCATGCACCTTTCCCCAGAACTACTCCAAAATAAGATATAGCTAAAAAATAAAATAAAACACAGAAGTTTACAGGAAGTAGCCAGGTTTGCTAGCTAAGCTAGCTTTGTAAGAACAAACAATCCTAAGGCACACACGAGCATAACGTTATCCACTTTACCTTTAATTATGCCCTTAAAAACCAAACAAATTAAAGAACAATTTTTAATCTACTGTACTGCTTGTACAACAAGAACAGAGCAACTAACTAGCACACATTAGCCCACCTGAGAAGTCGCTGAGGGCCGTGTTGTTGCCTCCTGTGCCATTTTTCCTCGGTACTAAATTCAAGCCGAGTATTTGCTGAACAAAGCCTACCTCCTGATACCTATCTTGCATAATCTCACGTAGATTTTAGACACCACATAAGTAAACGTGTCCAGCACGAACTGTTGTCTTAAAAACACATTTTAATGTCTCTGCCCGTAGTGGCGCACTGACGAACTTACGTAACCTAGCCCCGCCCCTTTGCTTAAAAACAAGTTTTTCCGAATAGTAACCTAACGTGCCATAATACGACATAAGAGTGAATATTTACACACGGTTCCACCCCACTGCAAACAAACTTCCCAAAATCTTATCTTCAGACTCATCAGTCCTGATAGCCCATTTTCTAATTTTCTTCAACCAACTTGTTCGATGGTCTAGGCAATTTTTCCCAATATAGTTGAGAAATTTCACTTTCATCTTGGTGTTTTGACATCTGGGACTTTGCTGATTGCTACCTTGCTGTGACTTGAAGCAGTCTGCTTGTTCTTCACTCCGTTTGAAACCTTACACTCTTTCAGGTGAAAATAGTCTTTTACACTAGTTTGGTAAATCACTCACTTCACTATAACGCCTACATAAAAGTGCACCAGTGGTCTCATCGAATCTGAGGAAAACAAAATGGTGTTGGATTAAGGAGAACTCACTGGCAACGAAGATCGATCAATACAACTCGTGTACATTTAGGTTTTAACACTCAGAACCATAGCAACACCCTTCTGAATCTCATGTTGTAAACCAGTGGTTCTCATCCTGGTCCTGGAGGGCTGATATCTTGCATGGTTTATCAGTTTTAATCAGCAGGTGATTAACAGGCTTCTGCAGAGCCTGATGAGTTGCTGCACAGGTGACATAAAAACCACTGAATTTTCAGCTTCACATTTCTATCACTGGTGCAGACTCAGTACACTTGTTTCGATAAAACTAGTTAGGTGTGCAGGCTCATCCCTTTAGGAATGCTGCTACAAGCTTAAACGTGTGGTAGACCTGACCACAATCCCACTTTGCAGCCGTGATTCAGTCAAGTCCATTTCCTCACTCTGCCATCTCAAAATGTTCACAGCTCATCTTCAAAAGAACTGTCGACAGATCCAACCTTCATGCACCTTTGTCTTCTCAGGCCCTTTTTCAGCCAAGGAGGATGTCCGTCCATTCTGAGGTCCGACCTGGTACTGCTGGACTTCCTGTTGAACTGGACATTTCTCTTCTACTGCTGCGCTTCGCTCAGCGTGAAGGACTGTAGAAAATTCATTGGGGATGATTTGAAAACTCTGCATTTATCCTAAAATCTAATTTTATTACAGCTGAATTTAATTTACTAACAATTAATGCAAATCTGGAGCCAATATGAATTAGACTAGTTTGCTTTATGTGGAATACTTTCAGATAAGTAGTGAATTGGCACTGCATGGCATTGGTTATTGCGGCTCATCTTAGACACCAGCACCATCTCCTGACCTCCTATGCATGTTTGATCTCCAGCATGTCTATTTTTAGCCCTGTAACAAAACAGCTATGTGCAAAGTTCATCCCCAACACATGTCAGAAAACACGCCAGTCGCAGATGTCTTTAACAGTTTGGTACCTAAGGATAGGATTAAAGTAAATGTTGTTTGTGCTAAAACTCACTAAGAATGCTTTAAAAGTTCCCACTTGTGGCTAAGATGAAGAACTGCACATCTTCTATTCAGTTGATAGAAACCAGAGATGCAGTCTGAAAAAAACCAGACTTTAAAATCATATTTAGAATAAATACATTTAAACAACAAGAACCTTGCAAAAACCTGCCATGTGGATGCAAGAAATCACAATAGAAAAAAACAAGAACAAAACCTTCCTAAAGAAATAAAATTAAATGTGTGTATTTAACATTTTTATAGCGGCTTTGCTCCGAGGGTCAGACCAACGTTAAAACGAGTGAAACCACCTGGGATTGATGCCCTCTGGCCCATTCTGTGATGCATCCTCATTTCTGTGTACAGCTTCTTTTCATAAAATATTTTACTCATACAATCATGTCTTTAACTATAGCAACATTACTATTTAATTTTGAGTGTTAAAACATCAGTTGGACATCACCTCTTAGGAACAACGGTATGTAAACAAATGCAAATTAAAAAAATCATTCTCTTTGCATCTGAGTCTGTCTCATTTAGTTCTGCAGTTCCATTTGTACACCTCATCAGTCTGTAGGGGTATTGCTGGTCCTGGTGGGGCTTGGGACTGGTCCAGCTTTGAGCAGTGGCCTCTGCTCCATGACCAGCGAGAGAACCTTCATGGCAGAACGAGCTGGCCGTGGGCAGATGTGACCTTCACGCCGGCCCGTTAACTGCTTGCTCAGACGCAGCAGAACTCCTGTCCAGCCTGGGGAGCGAGGATGGAGAAAAGATTTCTGTCAACACGCATCTCTCAGCAGAACCTCAGAGCAGACAGACACACTTACTTTGCCTCGTCCATGCTGGGCATTTCCTTTAGGGGACCATTGGGAAACTCCACAGCGGCCCGACATGGCTCACTGATGAAGACACGAGAGACATCAGTGCCACAAACTAGTAGAATGCTGAAGATTACTGAACCTAATGGGTAGCTTTACTGTCTGAACCAAAACACCCTAAAAGCTGCAAGAGTCCAACATCCGGGTCTCATATCGGCGGATACCGGAGACCCATCTGACTGCTCCTCACAAGACCTTGTCCTCCTGAAGGTGGACAGTGGCTATGAAGCCCTACCATAAAAACATCTGCATAAAAACAAACATTTGATTAAAGTAATAATCCAAAGAAGTCACGTAGAGCAGAGGTCGCCAGTCTAGGGTTGGGCATCGTTTGAATTTGACCGATTTCAGTTCCTATTGATTTTCAGTTCAGATTCTTTCAAGTGGCAGGATCCAAAACCTTTACATGTTTCAAATGAGCCGGCTAACCACAGGTCGTACCGATGAAGCCATACGAACTTCAACATGAATTTAATTCTATGAACAATAACATCACCTTCATTTAGACAAAAACATGTTTTCAAGAAAGAAAGAAAAAAAGACTTGCAGCACAACCGGTGTGTTGGTTTCTGACCACAGTGAAAGTATGAGAACTGAAAAAGCCTCTAGGATGAGAAGCAAATGGTCAAGATAACCAAAACTGTCCAGTTGTTTTCAACTAGAGTTGAAGGAGTCACCGCTCGTCTGGGAAAGGTGCTGGATCAAAAAGTGGAATAAACAAAATAAGAATCCGCACACTTCAATCTGCGATGTAGGAGTTTATTGGTCAAGCTTTCGGTCAGAGACCTTCATCGAGAATTGTGGAGTTGTTTTCAACTAAAACTTCCAGAATGCTGTCCAGGAGGACCGAGAACCTACAGCTACATGCTGCAGCATCGATTCAGCCAGAAGGGAACCTTAAAGGTAGCTGCTGTCCGTAACTAACAGGTTTAAACGTTAAAACTCTCAACAGACTAAATGGTTCAAAAAAGCAAAAATTAATCTCACAACTTTGTGTCTTGAGATTAATTTTATGATTTTCATTACATCAGGGTAACTGCAGGTTTAAGGGAGCCAAATGTAAGACTTTTTAAGACATTTTTAAGCCCACTTTGACCAAATTTAAGCTATAATTTCCAGCTATTGCCTGGAACTGGTGCTAACCATGTCGCGAACGTGGGATTAGCCATCCAGTTACCATTAAACTTGCACTTCTCCATGGCGCAAGCTCCCACTAGCTTAACCTGCTAATGTGCTCATCTAAATATAGCCCCCTTTCACAACCAACTGAATGTGTACGGTTCCGCTTACGCCAACATCATACACAAAAAATCCAGAACACCAACTAGAAATTCACAAAATTTTTATAGAAATAAAAGAATCTTGTTTAGTGGGCCTTTGGTAATTTAAGACCTTTGGAAACTGGATTTAAGGATTATTTGTCATTTTTAAGGATTTTTAAGGCCTTAAATTTTGAAAAGCTAATTTAAGACTTTTAAAGACTTTTTAAGGACCCGCAGATACCCAGTATATTTATTTCTTATCCCTATGGGCTCCTAGTGGCCAGAACCTGGTGTGGTCCAGCAGAGAGGCTGCTCTAGCACGATGACTACGGTTGTTGCTCAGCCTTCTGGTGGTCACGCTCACACAGACGAGTGTCTGACTGTTGATGCTCCGATGCTTAAAACCCACCTGACACCGCCCAGTTTGTTTTTTAAAACGTGGATTAAATCCACCGTGGTGACGCATTTTAACCAGCTTCCTTCACATCGTGTTTTTCATTGCAGGATGCAATGTTTACATCAGTCTCACCCCGGGTTTCCACCGGAGCCGTCAGCAGCACGTTACTGCAGCAGCACGTCTTGCTCGCGTAAGCTGCTGCTTGGCCCTTCCCACGAGACGCGAAGCAGCAGGGGAGCAGCTGTCACCGACCGAGCACGAAGTCACACGAGTGACTTCGTCAGTAAACACAACAACAAGCAGGAGAAAATTACAACATGGTTTGTGTTTTATGTTCTGTCCGTTTTATAATCGCCAATACGGACCTGAAAAACAAAGGAGACCGCTAGCTAGGTGATAACTCCTCACGGAGCCGCACAGTTAGTAACGTTTTTTAAAAGTAAAGCAACCGGAAGGCAGTACGTTCTTTATTCTGAAAATCTCGGGAGCTTCTCTCCATTTCCGCGTCCGATTTCCTGTCTTTTCTTCCCCAAAAATGTCGAACTTGACCCGTTTCAGAGGCGTCGCGCGTAGAAAATAGAACCGGCGCGTAAAGGCCGCGACATGCTGCTCCTGAGACGCGGCCGACTCGCTCTGCTGACGGCTCCAGTGGAAAGAAGGGGTCAGAGTAAAAGGTCGGCATGAGTTTACAATTTTGCCGCTGCACGCCTGCAGCATGAGGGCGTGGGGAGGGGGAAAGACGCACTCTGGGTTTACACAAGCTACAAAGACAGCTAGTAGGATCGGCTCTGAAAGGCAATCAGAATCCGCAGATTGCTTATCGTTTCCCACGGAGATCGGCCGTGGACTCTTCTTCTGGTCAGAGAACTAAGAAGTAAAAAAAACTTCATTGTCAAACCAATCGATGCTCGATGCCCAACCCTAGTCACCACTAAAGTCATGGGTCCAAACAGCATGACTAGCCATGTTTCTGCTGTTTTTGGCTGGTTTCACCTGTCGTCTTGCTCTTGGTTTTCTTTTGATAGTCCTGATTTTTAGTCTCAGGCTAGCTGTGAGCCACTGTCCCTCCAGATCAGGTGTTTAAATGAATTATATGAAATAAGTAATGGCAGTTTTGAGTTATACAACCAGTGCTGGGGTTGAAAAGACGTGGGCTAAAAGGACCTGAGACTGGTTTAACACCTAATGTTTAGTAGAGGTCTAAAACAAGTCCTGGATGCCGAACCTGCACTTTCTGCCAACTTTGGTGTTCTCCATGTGAGACTCGGGCGTCCTCCTCCTCCCTACATCCTACACACTAGCTTACCAAATGCTGAGAGACGGAGCTGTGACTCTAAGGCAGGGTGAGCATTAACCCCTATGCTGAGCTATGGCCGAGTCCTTTATTAGAATAATTGTCATCATGTACAAATGTGGGACATTAAAAAACAAAAACCTTAATGCTCACTCAAATAGCCTAAAACTGACTTTAATGTTAAAAATATGTATTTAAAGTTAAAGTCCCATAGTCATCATCACACGCTGGTGAAACTCATCTCCCTATTTGACTCATCCCCATGGAGGGGAGCGGCGAGCTGCAGCAGTGGCTGCGCTCGGGAACTATGTGGTGGTTTGACCCCCCCAATCCAACCCCTTAAAGTTGAGCGTCAAGCAGGGAGCCGTTGAGTCCCATCGTTAAAGTCTTGGTATGACCCGACCGGAAATCGAATCCCGATCTCCCAGTCCCAGGGCGGACCCTCCACCACTAGGCCACTAAGCTGGTTCCATAGGGAGCCTAAGTCATGCCTATCGGCCGGACCACAGGTCCCCGGAAGAATGAAAAAAATAAACGCAAGTCAACGGGGCTAAAAACGCCGTTTTCTAGTTCCGCTTGTTTTGTGCCATGGATTTCACAAATGATGTCCGTGGATTCTAAAAAGCATTTTGAAACCAAAAAAGGCACTTTTTTGAAAGGAGGGAAACGTTATTTTATTTTTGTGTGAAAATAAGTCCAGGACAACAAATGCGCATCACCAAAGTGACGTCATTGAACCGACACGGAGAAAAACGCTCTTCCTGGGACCCGTGAGCCGACCGGAAAGGGAGGACACTTAGGCTCCCTATTAACGAAAACCTAATCTGTTGTTGCTCAACGGCTCTCGCTGCAATCAGGTGTTTCCTGCAACTCCCAGTGAGACCTCTGCACCTGTCGACAGGTATCCTGACCATCTTCAATGTGAGCAAACTGCTCCAGCTGGCTGAGGATTGGAGGGCCCTTTCTTCAAATGTTTTATCTTTTTATCAAATGTTCAACATTTAGATCAGGGCTGATTGAAGAATTTGGTTCTGATCCATCCTTAGATGCTTTTAAGCTTTTGGATGACTTTTCTGTTGGGACTCCTGACCTGAAACCAATGCTTTACGACTCTGGGCAGAACATAACCCTGCACAGATTTGTAAGGCTACACCAGATGCAGCAAAGCAGCCGCAGACAGAACCGAGCCCCCTTTTACTGCGATTAGAGCGTTTTAACCTCCTGCTTCTGTGAACACGGCCTATGTGACAAAGGCTAAATCTAAGTTCTGCACAGAAAAACAAAAATAAAAATCACAAAACAAAGAGCAACAGAATGATGCATGGAATAAAACAAACGGAAAACGTCTCGTAAAGCAGACTTAATTTTAAAAAAAGCACGATGAAAAACAAATGTTTGGCTTCATGTGAATAAAACAAAAATCCACACATTTCCCAAGAGAGAATTTAAATAATTTAAATGCGGATTTGGGATGTTTGACAGAATCTGGTGTTATAGAAACACCACCTGCTCTGAGGTAAATGTAGGTCATTTAAGTTAAAAAACAAAGTAACATACGATAAACACAATAAAACACCGTTTGACCGTCTTTCAGACTTCAGAACAATGCAGAGCAGAGAGATGAACTGGTCTTGTGTGTGCTAGTGTGTAAGGACTGGTGTCTGACCCTGTTTGGGGACAGCAGCCAGTAGCAGAGCTGCTGGTGTCTGAATCCACACGCTCCACCACTAAGTTTTTCTCTGAAGAATCAAGCTTCTCTCCATCACTGCAACAGACAGGTACACACACACACATACACACACATTAATAAGTGATGTCCGTTTTACCCACAGGAACACAGAACAAAGTGAGACGTGAAACCGGATTCATGCTGACCTGACAGTAACACAAAGAATGGTTGTGTGTGAATGGAAAATTTTGGGAATATTACAATGTAGAGCAAATGAAGGGAGTCAGCTGTTTGAAATGTTTAGCTAGGTTTTTTCTGTTTGCTGTTTAGGCTACAGAGCAAGCAGATGGTTGGCACATCAGCAAGCTGAATCCAACACTGACTAGACCCAAATTGGTTGTACCAGCCGTCAGTCTTGCTTTGTCCCAGAGAACCACCAACAATCTTGATGAGGTCTCAATAGAAGCAAAACAACTACAAACACTAAAACCTAACAAAACACTAGAGGTACTGTTCAGAACAGTGGGAACACCCCATGTTGTTCAAGTTACGGTTAGCTTGAGTCAGCATGTTACATGTTGTATTTGTTAGAGACGGGTTAGGGTTAAAGGCAGGGACTATCAGGTCTAAAACAGTTTGCTTGTTTTTGAAGGAATCTTGGAGCAAAGAGGCAGGAAGAGGTACTAACATTATTCTACTGCCAGGCTCAGGAGGGAAACAGATGAGGCGGGAGCATGCAATGGCAAAGACCACTACAGTCAAACTTAAACTGAGTGAAAGGTCAAAAGTAAAAGAATTAAAACACGGTCCGGCGCACATTCTTCAACACATCCAGTGATGGTTGAGTAGCCTTTATTGCCAAAAGCATTAGGACTGCCCAAATGCACACATAAACGTAATGATGCCAGATTCTGTTTGACCCACTCCACCTTTTATAACCATTTAACTTCTCAGAGAGGAGTTCCACAAGCTTCAGGAATGCGTTCACGGGACTCTGACCTTTCCTTAAAGAAATGTGAAGTCTGGAACTGATGTTGGAGGAGAAGGCCAGGCTCACCGTCCCAAAGGTGTTCCACAGGGCTGAGGTCAGGTCTCTGCAGACCAATCATGCTTCTCCACACCTAAATGGGCAGTTCCAATACTCTTGGCAATAAAGCACAAGTTTGTTTGGTGTTCTCAAACTGAAAATGCTCAAGTTATTCTTTTAGACGCAGCCAAAAGGGACAGCTATTTTACAAACTAGCAACTTCTAAGGACTACACAGACTCAGACCTATCAGGTGGGTTTCTGTGGAAAGGTCAGTGTACAGTAGCTCTTTTATAAACCTTTATTATTGATATTGTTTATCAAACACAACTTGAACAATCCACTTTGCCTTCATTCGTCATTGAAAAGTGAAGCCCCGACATTCCATTTGCAGGTGCTGCCATGTTGTGTTTATGTGAACAGAGCCTGACACTTTGGATGCGAAGCTTCAAGTCCCTCGTCCTCCTAAACACACAATAATGGTGTTCCCACACATCAGATAACTAATTACAGCTAAACGTGTAGGACAAACCCACATCTGCAGGGTAGGAACACATGGAAAACATTTTTAAAGGTGCATTATGAAGAAACGAAGTCAAAATGACAGCCTGTGGTAAAATGTTGGTTACTGCAACCACTTTAACCAAATCTGGAGCTTTTTACTGGCTGTCATCAAATTACAATTCTGCAGCATTAGCTCGCAGGAGACCAGACAACCCCACACTTACTGATGGTAAACAGTTGTTACAATCCACACAGCCAGCTGGAGATGAAACATGTTTCAGAACTTTCCTTCCAAAATGACTCTTATGGGATTTTCTTACTGTAAAATTCTCACTATATTCTTACACGAATGTCTTATTTTTTTAACTATAAATCTGCCCACATGAAGGAGGAGGAACTTAAAACGTGGAATGGATCTAGTAGTGACAGGGAGCGGGACTCATCTTACTCTTGCACCAAAAACCAAACATGGCAGCCCTTGAAGATCTTGTGGCTTCAGCAGCAGAAGAAGGTGGAGAGTTTGTCCATTTTTATGGACTGTATGTTTGCTCAGGGTTCGGTTACTGGGTCTAATCATCTACATAAAATGTTTGCAACCTTTCCACGGAAACCTGCTCTGGAAGGCCTGAGCCATCAAACTCAATAGAAAGTGGTCAGTTTGGATTTGTTGATGTGGGGCTTCTTTCTTACTACCTTTCTGCCGTGGACAGCACAACCTTAGGTTTAACATCCAGACTGATGTGCCAATAGTCACAGAGCTAAAGCCAATTTCTCCTGTTTTAAGGCAACTTGGTGATGTAAAGAGTTTCTGAAAGAACTTTTTAATAAGCTGTTGTGAAACGTTAAAGCAGGAGTTGTTTTCTAGAAGACCTCTCTACAGAACGCCATTTCCAGGAAATTCAAACTTTTCCTTCAAGAGGGAGTCAATGGCTGAAGCCCTTCGAGCTAAGGAGAGGCTTCTGAGTGCTAAACCACAGATAAAAGTTAAGCACCTAAGGACATTCAAAGGGTATTTACAACTTAAAAATCAACAGGTTGAAAGCCCTTCAGGAATTAGCCACTGGGCTGAAAGAGTCACTTGTGTCATCGGTCTGTTTACTTGAGTCGGCCTGAACCGACTGAACACTAACCGAGGAAAAACTTAAAGAACCAAAAACTGAACAAAGTGCACTTGGACAACAGCTTCGGTAAAACATGCAGAATGAAGAAAATGAAAGAGCTGAAACAAAAAAAATGCCAAATAAAACTGGGAAAGAAAAGTTGGTGGTTGACGTGACAACAAGACTACATTACGGCTGCAGGCTCATCTCTGATTGGCTGTACATACCGATAAGATTTCAACACTCTGAAGAAGACCAGACCCACAACGCACAGCAAGAGAGAGGGGAAGCTCAGACTGTGAGGTTGCTCATTTCATTACACGGTTATTAACTCAGACACAATTATGCAGCATCAACATGAGGACAGAGAAACAGATCAGTGGAGAACAACGGCCTTTCAGAGCTGCTTTAAAGGAAGATTGTAATCATGAATGGGACTGGATCCTTGTTAGAGACAGTCTTGCTTGTATAAACAGCTCCTGCTGTAGACCCTAGCCATCAGCAGATTTCTACTCAGGTGTTAGAGATGATCACCGTGACAGATGCACAGCGCAAGTGTTCACTAATCTTCTCTTTAAGGTTAAAGTAGGATCGGTACAGGTCGAGTTGTTCCGTGGAAGTCTTAACTTATGGCTGATGAACATTAAGTCCTGTAGTCGTATTAATATCTTCACCAGACTTCTTAGTAGGGCTGGGCAATGAATCGAAAATTTATCGTTATCAAAATTTCTGACTGTTATCTAGATAATTTTCCCTGTGTCAATAAATTTGATAAAAAAATGAAAAGATGTGTAGTTTGGCAACGTTCAAGAAGCTGTAGCACCTTGAGTCACGTAAAAATGTGACTTAACATAATACATGTGGCAGCCCCATCTAGTGGACAACTTTTGTTTCTGCGAATACCCGTAGCTATAGTCCATTTATCGTTATCGAGGTGAAATCCTCAGCATATGGTGATATTGATTTTAGGCCTCATCACCCAGCCCTACATCTTAGTTATTTTCAGATACGTGGGAAGAGCTTTTATGCCAAGCCTGCTGCTGCATGATCCAACTGCTTACTCATGATGTTAGTTTAGGAGGAAGCTGACAGAGAAAAGTGATTACTGTCACACACCGCAGCTTTTCCTTCACTCTCACATATTTAGTGATACTTTACAACTGGAAGACTTGCGAGAATGAAGCAGCAAAGCCATTCTGTAACTGAATATGTCACCAGCCTACAAACAGCACAGAGTTAACCCCAGCTATGTCATAATCTACATTTTAAGTATCAGCAGGTAATTAAAATCAGGTACTAGAAAAATATTAGCACCAGAAAAAGAATGAGTGCAACTCTAACCTGTGCTGGTGAAGATCAAACCTTTAATTTACCAGAACACGCCATCATTGTGTGTGGGTAAGTTGTCTTTTCATAACCATGACTTGATTTGATCCACTAATGAGTGTAGATGATATAAGGAGAACTTTATATGCAAGCATATGGCAAGAGTCTGGTTCTTCTACAGTTCAACTGCATGTAGGCACATGAGGTATAACCTGGTGGAATCATCCGTTTGTGTGGAATCTGATGTCCTTCTGAACATGTAGCATTGCTTAGCTACCTAAACTATACTTATTGAAAAAAACACCCTGATACAGTAACTACTGAAGTAATGACTGCACCATTAAATCCTGCAGCTGGTAGCTATGCAGCAGTGAGAATGAATCCAGAAAAGCTCCATGACCAGCGTTTAAGGAACTCCATCTCTTAGGAGGAACACGTTATTCAGTTATGAGATCATTTAGTTTTTTTAAAATGTAGAGAATGTAACTTCTCTCATGACATCATTGTTGTTTATGTAGCAATACATCCTGGTTACCAACATCACATGGTTGCTATGTCTCATCGCCCCATCCAGCACAACATTGTTCACTGTGTGCTCCAGTCAGCCTTCTTGGTGCTCTGATGGAGAGTCTTTAATTTAGAACTCTAAATGCAGCTGAAAATGATGATAACACGGCCGAAGAGCTTTATCTATGACTGCTAGCTCCTTTTAGCTGCTGTAAGTTGTTCTAGCTCCTGTTGGCTGCTGGTTTTAGCTCATGTTAGCCTCATCTAGCTCCTTTTAGCTGCCGTTAGCCCCTGTAGCAGCTGTAGCGGATGATTTGGGTAAAAGGCATTAGACAGCAGTCTCTTATGAAGTTACACTGTAGTGTTGTGCTGTTGGGAAGACTCATTTTAAAGGTGTTTTAAATGTATTGAATGGAGTTTGTTCTCATGATTATATTTTTAATCATTTAAATGTTTCTGTTGTTTTACTGTGGAAATGGTACAGCAAGACAACTTTCCATGCATGTGGACTGGTACACATCTCATTTCTCTTCTCTGCAGGGTTTTCTCCTACTCGGCTCTCCTTTTCTCATTCAGAGAACAAAGCTGCATGTCGTTTGGTGACTTTTGTTTGAAACCCGAACCGAAAAGCAAAATAACGCTGTTTTGTTTAGCTACATCTACCATTTCTGCAACAAAATGAAATAATCGTCCCAGAAAGCATTGTATAAGTCATTCAGAATGTTTCCATGTAAATAACCTATTTTGGTAGAACGAGGATTTAACAACACAAGCTTTAAAATAATTGAGACTAATTTTGTCTCAGTTACAGCACTATTAAACTATTAACTGACCAGTTAATAGCATTTTGGTGTTCTGTCTCAAGATTGAGTGTCAATCTCCGTTTTGAAGGATTCTATTGTTTGGATCACTCAGCTATCAGGAATGCCGTTTGTGTGGATTTGATCGGGCGAACCTCTTGAAAACAGCCGTCTCAGTCTTGGCGTCAACAGTGAGACTGACGGTTTCCTTGATGGAGCCGTTGATGACCGTCTCCGTGATGCTCCGCTGCTCAGAACAAGACGTTTCTTCCTCAGTCTTTGATATCCCACAGGGCTTAGGAGAAGTGGAGGAAGGCGAAACCACACTTCCTCCCAACCAGCCATCACAGTCTGCACGATGCAAAGAAAGCACATTAGTCTAAATATAACTTTTAGCTAACTGCATTGTTCTGCAGAAAGGTTGAGATGAAATCAAACATCTGCAATTGGTTAAACTTGAATCAAGTCTGTCTCGTTTGAAAAATGCAGGTATTCAAAATGCCAAATGACACTGTGGTGTGTGTGTGTGTGTGTGTGTGTTCTAAGTATGTGAACATAGATGACACGCTTGTGCACACAACATACCCTCAGGAAGCGCTGCTGAATTGACTCCCAGAGGGTCTATTGTCTCAATGCTGGTTTCCATAGCAACAGGAGAGTTGCACCTCAGAGGGTCTTTGGGACTGAAAAAAAGAAGGGTTTAGACTTTTAAGTCCAAAGTAATTAGTCTCTATAAAGGCTGCAGCCCCAAACTTGACCAACGCTTCCTACCTGACGGGGGAGAACCTGGAGAAATCAGCCCAGCCTGTTTCAGAGTTGGACGTTGCTGCAGAAGAGTTCCACGCTGCCTCAGAGACAACTTCTGAGGAGGGGGACAAAGGAGAGGACGCAGCAGGGCTGTTGTGAAAGGAGACTGAAGCTGTGGAAATACTTGTGTCCATAGGGACATCATCAAAACTGGCTGTCCACACTGGCCCTTCAATAAAAAAAATAAACAAAAAATACACCACAAAAAGTTTTGAGAGTAGGACATCGGACCCTTTCCAATATTACTTTTCAAAATTTTGAGGGATGTAAAATTGTTATCCTGTAACCAGCACTAAAGTTTAGGCCAAAAAAACAATTGCAGTAGCCAAGAAATCTAGTAGCAATATATTTAGCTCTGCAGGGAGGTCTAGCCTCAGCAGGTCTACCATTGGCCCTGAACGGTTTTTGGTGCGGCCAATCACAGCGCTCTGTAGAGAGGCGTTGGGCGGGCTTGGCACCATTGCTGTGGTACAGGAACACTACAAAGATGGCATCAGCTCAGAAATGGTGCTCATCTGTAACAGCTTCAGCAGCAACCCTGGATGGTTTGGACTTGGGCTGGTTCTTCTATGAGACATGTGCAGATATGGGTACACAAGTGGTTTATTTTAGAAAAGGATGTATTTGCTTCTTCTTCTCCAACAGTGAATAGCAGAATTCCCCACTGACTGATTTCTGTAGCGATGAACACGTCACTTTGTTCGTTGCTCTGATTGGTCCTAGCCTACCATAAAGTCAGCCCCATGACTGAGCTCTGTCTATTGGTCATGGCCAGACCACACATTGACATTCACAGGGTGGCTTGCTAGGCTGCAATTGTAGCCTTTCAGGAAGACTAATACATGGCTGTATCTAAAAATATGTTTCCGAGGTCAATGTGTGTTTTTATCCCTTGGCCAAGGCTGCCAGTGACTAATTAACAATACAAATATCTTTTTATACATAAATTTTGTTCCCCATACCGGACACAAAACAACTTAAGTTAAAATACTTCTTGTTGTGCCAACCTGTATCAACCTCCATTCTGTCATCAGCAGCACTGTTGGGAATTTCAAAGGGATCCCTCTTGGCTTCTTCCTCCTCCGAGTCTGTGCTTTCCTCGCTGTCTGTGCTGCCTGAACTCCTGGGATGGAAACAGATAAATACTTTCAAACACTGAGATACACAAGTAAATAATTAGAGTGTCATGTAGTTGTATCGATCCGTAATATGATTTAGTGTCACCCTGAAACCTGATTAGTAGGGATGTTCCGATCACGTTTTCTTTTCCAGATCCGAATCAGACATATGATTTTAAAAGTCTGCTGATACCGAGTCTCAGATACTTTAGAAAATGCAATACGAAAAAAAGAGAACACACTAGAGTTGTCCTTTAAGGTTTTTAATCATTAATGTCTTTCTTTCTTTCTTTCTTTCTTTCTTTCTTTCTTTCTTTCTTTCTTTCTTTCTTTCTTTCTTTCTTTCTTTCTTTCTTTCTTTCTTTCTTTCTTTCTTTCTTTCTTTCTTTCTTTCTTTCTTTCTTTCTTTCTTTCTTTCTTTCTTTCTTTCTTTCTTTCTTTCTTTCTTTCTTTCTTTCTTTCTTTCTTTCTTTCTTTCTTTCTTTCTTTCTTTCTTTCTTTCTTTCTTTCTTTCTTTCTTTCTTTCTTTCTTTCTTTCTTTCTTTCTTTCTTTCTTTCTTTCTTTCTTTCTTTCTTTCTTTCTTTCTTTCTTTCTTTCTTTCTTTCTTTCTTTCTTTCTTTCTTTATGTCATTTAGTTTATTTGCCAAAAAACATCAGTTGTTTAGGAAGTACATTAATAAGAAACGTGTTAATATTGAGAATAAATGTAAAGTAGCCTTGTTGTCGCTCATAAATAACGCTTTAAATTGTTTACTCGCAGCAGGGTAACTCCTTTCTACAAAACACCCGTAGAGCTGCTGCATCTGTAAAGGTAGGAAGAGAAAGCAGACCGTGACTTAGGGACACTGCAGAACCTGACGTTTGCAACCACAGACGCTCATCTTGTGTGGTATACTGCCATCTTGGCATTTTGGGGCAGCAGTAGCACAACAGGTTGTGCAGGTTGTCCAGTAATCAGAAGGTTGCAGGTTCAATCCCGATTAAGGATAGAGAATTTGTCTGTTGTGTCCTTGAGCAAGAAACTTTACCCGCCTGGCCTGTTGCTGGTGGTGGGAGGGACCGGTGACGCCTGTGCTGGTTGATGAACTTTCATGCTACCAGAGAGCAGTTAGATCTGCTCGTAACACCTACTTTTCTGCTACTGTTTCACAGCGTCATGGAGACCAGTCTAGGCTGTACAGCACAATTAACTCCTTACTGCTGTTAAATGAGTCTGACAGTCTAAATCCCACTGTTGCTTTATGCACAGAGCTACAGAGCTTTTTCCTAACCAAGATCCTTGATCTTAGCCTCCAGCCTCAAATAAACACTATCCATGTGGAACCGCCTGACCCACCTGCCTTCTCGGACTTTGCTCCAGTTCAGCTTGCTGACGTACTGAAACTGATTAGCTCCATGAAGCCAGCTGGCTCTTCAGTGGACTGCCTCCCGGCTAAATAGGTGCGCGACTCGGTGTGTTCTGCTAGAGCAACACACGCACTTTGTGCTGAGGTTTCTGGAATCAGCGCTGCTTTCAAACGTGAACGTGAGTCCGCTCGGTGTCGTTATGCAGCTGATAATAACCGAGCTGACTCCGACACGTGCCGGTGAACCAACCCACCATTAGCCCCAGGCTCCGGTTAGCTTCCAGCTAAAAGGCTACAGCACTCTCCTCCCAGTCCCACCCTGCTAAAGAGGGCCTGGAAAAGTTCCCCCACACATCAAAGTGATTTTTCATTTATGAGCTTTTATAACCTTGTTAATCAGGATAGTTGATTTGCTGCTGCACATAAACTGTCAGTCAGAAGCTCTGCTAGCCGGTTATCTTAGAGGAGCTAGTTCAATTACTTAACTTGTTATCAGAATCATAGGTGCAGTTTCATCATCTGAGCTGCTTTTTAAGATCTAGGTAAACTTGTTCAATTTGGGGTTAAAAACAAACATTTTCATATATTTTCCATGTAGTTTTTTTTTTTTGCCAGCTCCTCTTCTGAAAGGTAGACAATTGTTTTTCTCTTTCCCTCAGAAAATCTTAATACTCTCCTAGTTTGGCCCAGCACAGATCACTTTCCAATTACAGCAGCAGCCTTATATCATAACCACATAAGTGGAGAAAATGCTCAGTAGCAATGAGAGAATTTGCTGTTGCATTTAAGTGATGTTAACTATTATTTAACATTTAAACTTATTTTCAGATTTTTTTTTTATTTATTCTAAAAATCCTGGTAAGGGATGTTTTTCTGTATTTGGAGCATCAGGAAAAAGTTTTATGGTGGAGGTGATGTTTTTAAGTCACTGAGAACCTGCATGCATGCAGTTTGTTGTTTTGCTGCTAATACAGTAGCAGGTGCAGCTGCATATTTTTGCAATAAAAATGTTATGTTGTAATGGAATTCATGCATTAGTTTTTGTTTGCTTTGAACCCAGAGCAGACGTCACACGCCAGACGACATCAACACTGCATACTTTAGTATTTGTTCATTTATCGTGAGTAATATCGATATCGCAATATTAAGCACCGTTATCGAATATCGCAGGTTTTCCTAATATCGTGCAGCCCTAATCAATAATAATGCAGTTTTATAGTAATTTCAAAAACTGTCATGAAACTTGGACACAAAGATGTCATGCATAGACCAAAGGTTAAACAAGCAGAGTAAGTGGTCTGGCGCTCGGTGTATGACCTTGGACGTCGCTGCGACTCTGGAGCAAAGGTGACTTCTTTTTCTTCCCAAATGTCCTCTTCATCTGAACCGGCATCATCAAACTGCTGAATTTTCTCCTTACAGCGAGCCTCAAACAAAGCTAGATTTGTCTGGAAAAACAAACAAAAAACAGAGGAAGCACCCTTAGTGGCTGCAGGTGGGGTTTCAGATATGCACCTCTAAGAAGACTGCTAGGATCAATAATCAGAGTACTTACACTTTCAGTTGTATTCAATGAAAAATTGATGTCTGATATTCTATCAAAGGGAATACTGCAACGTCAAAAAGAAAGACAAGTTTAACTTGGGTCATGAGGAACACTGAAAGAAAAACACTACTGATTATATCCAGTTACTCACACCAAAATGAGGTGACATGCTGTTATAAATGTGCCTCTGTCATTACCTGCAAACTTGGAAGGTGTGACCCTTCCCTCAAAATGTTTGTTTAGAAAGAGCCATATGTGGCTTCAAAAATGCTGATTTTCACCAAGAAGCGACACGTTTCAGCTATGTGTAAATTGTTTGTGTAGATGTGATGGCGGGTCCAGCGAGACAGAAAACATGACATTTTATTACTTACCAAATCAAATAAGAGATTATATAATGAATGAATGAATAAAACCCCATATAACTAAGTGTTACTTCAGAGTTGCACAGTAATGTTCAGACAAGTGCAGCCATGCAGGATGAGTACTCACTCCACAACATCGTCCTGATCTGCAAACTCTTCGTCGTTGAAGCCGAACTGCTCAATAAAATTGGAGGTCATTTGTTGCATCTGATAATCAGAAAAGGCCTGGCAGAACCCAAAACCAACAAGTTTTTAAGCTTGGCTCTAAACACAGCTCCTCATTGCAGCAAAAGCCTAAACACGTATAACAATCCCAGAGTCTGGCTGTTCAAATACATTAGGACTCCGTCTGAAATCATATTCTGCTGTTTAAAAATAAGAGGAGTCAAGAATGCTGTTAAAGACAAACTCTAAACTAGCAGTCATGCATGTAAAAGCATTTTAAAACAAGAGAAACTTTGGCAGTAGAGAGAGTTATTGAGTACGAGTGGAAAATAATTATTGTGATGCAAACGGACACAGAGGATTTGGATGTTATACATCTGAACTCATAGGGGTGTAACGGTACGCTAAAATCGTCATTGGTTTGGTGTTTTGAAGAGCTCGGTTTGATAATTTTGGGTATATTATTATTATTATATTTAATATCCGAAGCGGCTCCTGCAGTGATCAGAACCAGGAGTCATCACAGATCTAACATGATGTCTTTAACTATTTCACAGGTCATTTGTGCAGCTATGAGAGTCACGCTCATACAGACGAGTGTTGTGTTTGACTGCTGATGCTTTCCCAGGGGAAAGTTCAGCAGACATGTTTGTTTACAGTTTTGCCGCTGTGTGTCTGCACACTGTTGAGAGGGGGAGGGGCGAAGCGACGCTCCGTTCAGCGTCTCTACGGGCTCCAGTAGCAGCTGGGCGTGTGCAGCCATCATGCGTCACTCAATACAGCGTCCGTGCAGAAACTCGCCTAGGAACTTTTATTTGCTGCACTTAAATCACGCAAATAACACTTCATTATTTAATGGAAAAATTAACCCAAACAAAGTGGACCAACAGTGAAACTCACTAAGCTAAGCTGTGCAGCTCACAAATACAAACGGTCCTTTTATTACCGCTAATGGCAACATCTTTCTACTAAAACTACGTACTCAATACGTCCCCCTACTGCAACCGGTTACAGAAGAGTTTTACAAACATTTACATGATCTGACAAACTTAACTGGAATGAGGACACCGTTTGCACATGTGGGTCTGGACTGAGTGTGTCTGGGTCTTACCTGTTGAAGTGAGGAGTCTTGGTGAAAGCCACTGTCTTTAAAGTCCACTTCATCATCACTGGAAGAATGAATGTGTTGTGTGTTCACCTGAGAAAATATCCATTTTAGTGTCAGACTCGACTGTTTTTTAAAGATCCAACACTTAATTAATGGATCAAAATGCTTTTTGGCATTCACTAAACTGCCAAATCAAATTCTGGCAGTTTCTGTTTTCTCATCAAGAACTATATCAGGCACCGTGCTAACTATTTACTCCTGCTGGACTGGCGTTTCACCGAGTCTTACCAAGCAGAATTAAACATTATCTCATTGACGTGGTGGCTAGAAACCCCAGCTAATGTGTTAATGACAAACAGAGGGAGCTTCCTCCAGAGAAAATTCAGGTTTCCTTTCATTAGCTCTTGTGTTTCCTCTAACGTTATCTTACATATATCACAAATGGTTGGGATTAGACTTAAACGCAGCATGTCGATAAGGTCACTCACCAGGTCGACTGTGTTTCTTTTATTTGTGTCAGCGAGCTGCCCAGAAATAAACGCCTCCCATTTCTCTCTGTCCGCTGCCGGTAACTCTGTGACACAAACGGACTTCCATAAACCCGGTGTCCCAGATTTCACTCAAACAACTTTCATCCTGATCTGTTCACAGTGTTTGCTCTGTTTGACAAATCAAATGAATTCTGCTGGTTGTTTTAAACCTAAAGACAACAAGAAAAGTGTGAGTCCTCACCAGAGATGAGCTGCTGTATCTGAGGTCCATTGGGACCTTTCTCACTGTTATGAACCACAGAATTGGCTATTCTGGTAAGGTGACCCATGTAGCCTCGTCTCTGACCACCTTCTACCCTAAAGCGCACAAAGTAATGAAGTCATTATTGCATCAGTTACGTTTACCACTGAAGCCAACCACCAGTATCACGAGTACTTACTGCTCTTTCTCATTGGAAGCCCAGGCATCTACAATTCTTTGTATTAACTGGCACTTTTGAATCAACTAGTGCAGAAACAGAAGAACAGAGAATACAAAAACAACTTTAGAAGATTTGAAATGCAATGTTTACAGCTGCCACGCTCCCCACAACCTGACATTAGTAGGTAGGGTTGAGCATCGAGTGGAACCGGGAATGTCAGTTTTTCCCGGAATCATTTAGTTTTTACTTTTGATTCCTAGTTTCGATTCCTATTATGCCAACCATAAGTGGAATACGCAGCCGATCTCTGTGAAAAAACATGTGATCTGCAAACTCTGACCGCCTTTTAGAGCTGATCACACCAGCTGTCTGTCGCTCCTACCCTGCAGCCCGCAGAGACCCCGACAGCAGCATGGCATCCTCTCCCTTCCCTCACACTGCTCAGGCGTGCAGCGGCAGAAGTATAAACGAAAGCGTCTGCCGAGCTTTCTCCGTGACATTAAGTTTAATTCCTGCAGCAAAAAATCTGGCACGGAGAAAGTTTGCCAACACGCGTCAGCATAGTGGACTTAATCCAAGTTTTAAAGAACAAAGCCTGGGCGCTGTTAGGTGAGTTTTTAAGGCTCTCTGCAGAAATAAAAACACACACGAAGCCTCAGCAGTCAGACTCAGCCGCTCACCAACACTCGTGTGTGTGTGTATGTGTATGTGTGTGTGTGTGTGTGTGTGTGTGTGTGTGTGTGTGTGTGTGTGTGTGTGTGTGTGTGTGTGAGCATCAGAAGGCTGAACAATAACCTGTAGAATAATTAAAGTCATCGTGCTTGAGCAGCTTTCTCTGTGGTGGACCACACCAGCTTCTGCCACTAGGAGCCAATAATTAATAAACATAATAAAATAATCTCACAACACAAAGCTGTGAGATTATTTTTTGCTTTTTTGAACTATTTAGTCTGTTTAGAGTTTGAACGTTTTAAATCTGTTAGACTGTTACTGACAGCAGCTGCATGTAAGCTTTAGTTTCCCTTCTGACTGAAGTGCTGCTGCAGCCTGTGGCTGTAGACTCTCAGTGGTCCTGATCATCATCCTGAGTTTTAGGTGAAAACAGCCGGACTTCCTGGTTATGTTGAAGACACTTTGCCTCTCATCCTAGAGGTTTCTTCAGTTCCCAGACTTTAGTTGTGATCAGAAACAAACACACGGGTAGTGCAGCAAGTACTTTTTTCCCCCCTTAAAAACAAGTTTCTATTCTAAATGAAAGTAAAGTTATTGTTCGCAGAAATAAAATTCACGTTGAAGTTCAGATTATTTCATCGAGTAAGACCTGTGGTTGACCGGCTCACTTATAACATGTGATGTTTTAGGATCCTGCCACTTGAAAGAATCAGGAATCGATAGAAACTGGAATCGAAACGAGGAACTGGAATCACTCAAATTCAAACGATGCCCAACCCTATCAGTAGGCGATGAACTGCAACGGAAGAAAGCCACAAAAAGAGTCATATACAGGAAGTACATCCTTCATACAAACATGTAACCCAGGAGTTTCAGCTGCAGTGATTCGTGGGTGTATTTCTGCTGTAGAAACACACTCTGCTTGTTTCACAACTAACAAAAAGTTGCACAAGTTCTGCAGATTCACCATTTCCTCCTCAATCTAGCATGAAATATATTAACGTCCATCTATTGAAGCGTCCAAATGCAATGAGATCAGCTCGCACAGATGTTAGTGAGGTCTCTGTGTTACGCCACTTCTGTTTTGTGGATTTTTCTTCTGAGGAAACTGACCAAGAGTTTGATGATTCTTCAAAATCTCTCCGTGTGGTCTAGCACTGATATTCCTGAATGGGTGGTTTTCTTACATGAGTTAAAACCGCGTGTTGGATTGCTGTTGATGTGAAACACAAAAAACAATCTTGTTTCTTGGGGCAAATGAAGATAAATTGAGCATTTTGCACACGTACTAGCATTTGTTTAAAAGTGTTGAACCAACACGGTGGAGCTGAGGCAAACGGGTCGGTCTCATCTCCAGTCACAACACCTTCATTCCCATTCTCCTCCTCTTCTTCGTCTGCAGTTATGACTGTGTAGTTGAGTCCATTTTCACATACATGGGTCAATGTCTTCACAAGATACCAGACTGTCTTCAGGACCAAAATGACTTCTCTTCTGACCAGCGGTGCTGTTTGCTACACCTTGAGTTATTGAAAGACTGCAAATTTACCAACAGTGCCATCAAGAAGTCCCTGATCTGACCTATTGACCTTTTGTTGTAACTCCTGTGACCTTCTGACAGCTGCATTAAACGAAAAGCAAAGAGGACGGACTGAAGAACTTTACCAGTAACATCCAACCGCTCATGTAAACATTCACAAACTTAGGTAAGAATAAATTCATTTTGTCCATTTACAAAAACATCTAAGGATGTTTTCATCCTGGAACCCATGAAAAACGACAGCCGTTTGAACAAGAACAGTACTTGAATCTTACATGTGTGATGAGCGCACTCTCTTTAGCGTAGCCTTGCTCTGTTTCTGGCTGGCCTTCTGTGGGAGCAGGGGGCATAGCCAGGATCAGCGCCGTGCAAATTTCCACCTGAATATGAAGGAAGTTGTTCCAGATGTACCTGAAATACATATCCTACAAACAGAACAGAACAACATGCATTAATTATGCAGTTCAGCATGGTTTGGAACATTGTTCTACATAAACCAGAACTTAGATCAGTAATAGATTTGTGAATTTCAGATGGTGCTGGCTAGCATGGCAGGGAAAAACAGCTTTGAGGCAAAAAATAAAATACCAGGTTTGGATGTTAGATATTTGTTGGGTTAACCCAATACCAAAACACGAATATGATGACATGTCCCAGGTTATTGAGCGATCCAGTACGACAATTGTTTAAATACTTCCATGTCTGCAAATGAAAAGGTCGGTAGAAATAAAAATACTACTCACTAGAACAACTCCCAGTGTACTGAGGTTTATGAGTTCTGTGTTGATGCTGTGAGTGTTGCACTGCAACAGACTTGCAACCAGTCTGACCACGTTGAGCCGAGTGTTGCCCACTGGTGGGTCCAGCACCCCCCACGTCGTCTTCATAACAATCTTCTGATGGTGGTAAACAAGCTCTTCAGTTCATTCAAACTTCAATCATACTGCAAATTCACAGCTTTACAAAGATTTTTAACCAATATATCAATAAATGCACTCTCACACCAGACATTATACCCTTCAGGTGGTTTTCTACCTTGGGAGGCTCGAGGAGCAGCTGGTGGAAGTCTTTGAGGCGAGGTCTCACAGCCTCCAGAATGCTGTGGTTGACTGAGAATGAAGGGTGGGACATCCCAGGAGGACATTCCATATGACCCTCGAACCTGCAGCACACAGCGTCACAAGCAAACACACTCAGGAATTAATGGGTGGGAAAAACAAACTAAAAACAACAAAACTATTTCAGACAAAACCTACCTACCATCCATCCATTTCTATGTGAATATCGTAATTTGAGAGGTAAGGGGCCTTCTGACTTTAACACGGGAAACCAGAAGTGAACAGGACTTACGCTGGTCTCCTTGTTTCAAACAAGGTGAGGAGAATCTGGATCACACTGACTATTGCAGACTCGTTCTTCTCCTTCTCAAAGATATTAGCAAGCAGCTGCTCCACCGTCTCCTGCCTGAAGAACAGGAGAAAACAATTGATGGAATTGAAGAATGTCCGATAAATCGAGAATATCAGAATGAACTGACAAAAAAGTGACAAAGCAAAAGACAGTTTGACGATAAACATCAGAATAACAAGTTTAACACTAAAGGATCTCAACTTCCAGTCCAGTATGTTCGGTCCCTGCTTATAGACAGCTTCACTCCTCCACCTTTTCTCCCATGGATAAATGTGTTTGACATAATCCTGATTCTCCTAAAATCTACAATAACATTCTTTGTTTGGCTCACATTTAGGATAAGGGATTGTTGTTAAAAGTGGTACATCAGGTCTCGGTACTTGGGACTCTAGTCCTTCCCCGATACAGCCAACAACCATCTGAATGTTTCTCCAGCCTGAGGTAGGGAAGGAAGGATCAGAGTGCAGTCCCCTGTACCGCTGACACAACCCTTCAGTTTCTGATGTCAGGCAGTCATTAAACCAGATTATTGTGGAGGCGTCCACAGGTGTTTTCTGGAGTTTCTTACAAATTAAAACAGGCTGGTTCTCCTTCAAAGAAGACATTAAAAAACATGACCCTCACAAAGCTGATAGCTTTTCCAGATGGCCGTGGGTTTGTTAAAGTAAGTAATTTTATTTATACAGCACTTATCACAATCACAAAGTGCTTCACATAGATCACAACTAAATAAAACAACATCATAAAATCATAATGATCTCAAAACAGATAGTTTAGCATCAGAAAAAATAAAGTCATAAAATTATGAAATACCATAAAACAAATGAAAAACGAAACAAACTAGACTTAAAAATAAGAAAAAGAAAGGTTTAGGTAAAAGCAGCTTTAAATAAAAGGGTCTTTAGCTGTTTTTAAGTGTCCAGACTGTCAATCCTGCGTAAGGATAAAGGAAGATCGTTCCAAAGCCGGGGCGCAACAGTCTATAAAAACACTTTGACTTTCATATCTGGTCTTTGGAACCTCTAGAAGGTTCTGGTGTGTGGACCTGAGGCTGCATGGTGGCGCAGTGGTTAGCACTGTTGCCTCGCAGCACGAAGGTTGCAGGTTCGAAACTCGGCTGTGGCCTTTCTGCATGGAGTTGTGTGTTCTCCCCATGCATGCGTGGGTTTCCTCCGGGTACTCCGGTTTCCCCCACAGATCACAACATGCCCTATAGGTTGTAAATTGTAAGTCGCTTTGGATAAAAGTGTCTGCGAAATGAATAAACATAAACCTGAGGGCTCGGGTCGGACCATAAGGATTCAACAGTTCAGTAATATAGGGAGGAGCTTGACCATGTAGAGCCCTGAAAGTTATTATCAGGATACTAAAATGAACTCTAAAGTTAACGGGTAACCAGTGCAGAGACATCAGAATAGGAGTGATGTGAGCTCTTCTGTTTGCTCCAGTTAGGAGCCTCGCTGCAGAGTTCTGGACCAACTGAAGGTGTTCAAGGGCTTTTTTGTTGAAACATGTGAAGAGTGTGTTACAGTAACCTAGATGGGAGGAGATAAAGGCATGGAGAACCATTTCAAGTTCATATTTTGACACCAACCTTCGGAGTTTGGAGATATTTCTTAAGTGATAAAAACTGTTTTGGACCAATGTTTTTGAGTGGCCGTCAAGAGACATTGATTGGTCAATAACACCCAAATTCCTTAAGTTCGTCTTGACGGCAGAGGATAAATGACCAAGTTTTAGAATAATCAGAGGAACCATGCTCTCAGGGGCAATGATCAGATATTCATACTTTTCAGAGTTTAACCGGAGGAAGTTTTCTTGCCTGGAAATCAGCCTAATCCTACAGCAAGAGTGTGTTATAAAGCACGCCGGCATGGCAATGTGCGATTTTTGCGGCATTCATTCTGCCTTGCTTGGTATTATACAACATTCCGGAACTGCGCTGCTCTGGGTGGCTGCATGTTGGGAGTAGCTCTGCTGACTATATGTAAGTTTTGCCTTTTCTTGGGCATTTTTCCTTCTAGTTTCTCAAGAAAAACTGTATTTTTTTGGACATTTGACTTTTCTGTTTCTGGTGCTGTGAAGCTTAGAGGATTTTTACAGCCATTTTTTCACTTTGAGCATTTGTTATGATGCGTAACCATGGCAACAAGCTGGTTTACAATTGGGAGCAGCTGATTAATATTGGAAAGGCTGAAATAATACCTCAGCTAAAGCCACAAATCCCAAATGAGCTAAAACGCAAGAAGCGTGGGCGCAGAGCGGGAGCAAAACAGAGACAAAGAAAGAGGAAATTCAAACCATCTCTTCCATAGATCATAATTGGCAATGTGAGATCACTGGCCAACAAGATGGAGGAACTCCAAGCCCTCTCAAGGTCTCAGCCAGAGTATCGGCAGTGCAGTGTTGTGTTTCACTGAGACGTGGCTGCAGGACCACATCCCCGATTCCAGCGTCTCTCTGCCAGGATTCCTGACTGTACGAGCAGACAGAGATCTGAAGAGGAGCGGGAAAAGAAAAGGAGGTGGAGTGGCAGTGCTTGTTAACAACAATGGTGCCATCCAGGTCATGTTTCAGTAAAAAGTCGTCTCTGCAGCCCAGATGTTTAACTCTTGGGAGTAAGTTGTCGCCCATATTATTTGCCAAGAGAGTTCACCAGTGTTGTCTTGACAACCGTTTATATTCCACCTTCAGCCATTGCTGAAAATGCATGTGATGCCATCAGTTCTGTTGTCGCTAAGCTACGAACCCAGCACCCCAATGCATTTGTGGCTATATCTGGTGATTTTAATCATAACTCGCTCTCTGCTACACTTACAACATTTCAATAGTTTGTCAGCTGCTCAACCAGAGAAAACAAGACATTGGATTTGTGTTATGCAAATGTAAAGAATGCATACATGTCCAAAACAAGAAATCCTCTGGGACAATCAGATCACAATCTTGATTTTCTCTGCTCTGAATACAAACCACTTGTTCAGAGACAACCTGTGACAAGAAGAACTGTGAGAAAATGGTCACAGGACGCTGAAGAAGCCCTGCAGAGTTGTTTTGAGACCACAGATTGGATGACTCACTGCCAAGGATATGAAGAGGACATCAATGCCATGACTGGATGTGTCACTGACTATATGAACTTCTGTGTGGACAACATCATACCCACCAGAACAGTGAGATGCTTCGCTAATAACAAACCCTGGATCACCAGTGAACTGAAGAATCTGCTAAATGAGAAAAAAAGAGCCTTCAAGGAGGGAGACAGGGAATTGAGGAGTATACAGAAGCAACTGAAGATCAAGATCAGAGACAGTAAGGAGGCATACAGGAAGAAGCTGGAGAACAAACTACAGAGGAACAATATCAGAGATGTCTGATCAGGGATGAAGAAGATCACAGGCTTCAAGCAGAGGAAGGATTGCACAGATGACAGCCTGGACACAGCCAATGAACAGAACAAGTTCTTCAATAGGTTCAGTTCAGGAACAAACCCAGCATCCTCCTCGCCTGTCCCCAGCCAATCATCCCATCCTCCTCTGATCCAACATTTTCCTGTCACATGCCAGCTCTTTTGTCCTCTAACGCAGTTATGGACTCTTCTGGTTCTATAAATCTGTCTTCAACCAAGTCAGGAGACGCTGTTGCCCCATTTACCTCCCCCTCCCACCTATCTGTCTCTAGAAGTCAGGTGAAGAGGCAGCTGGAGAGACTGAACAGGAACAAGGCTGCAGGTCCAGATGGTGTCAGCCCCAGAGTACTGAAGGCCTGTGCAGAGCAGCTCTGTGGGATTCTGCAGCACCTCTTCAACCTCAGCCTGGCCCAGGAGAAGGTTCCAGTCCTGTGGAAGACATCCTGCCTTGTTCCAGTTCCAAAGAAAACTTGCCCATCAGTCAATGACGACTACAGACCGGTTGCCCTGACATCCCACATCATGAAGGTCCTGGAAAGACTCCTGTTGGTCCACCTGAATAAGCAAACTAGAACATATCAGGACCCGCTGCAGTTTGCTTATCGCCATGGAGTTGGGAGTTGAAGATGCCATCATCCAGCTGCTTCAACCAATCCACTGTCTTCTGGACAAAGCAGGCAGCACTGTCAGGGTCATGTTCTTTGATTTCTCCAGTGCATTTAACACAATCCAGCCTGATGTACTTTGCCAGAAACTCTAGAAGACACAGGTGGGGGCCTCAACTATCGCCTGGATTAAAGACTACCTGACAAACAGACCACAGCTTGTGAGGCTGAAGAACTGCACATCAAACCAGGCGATCAGTAACTTTGGAGCACCACAGGGGACTGTACTCTCACCATTCCTTTTCACCCTGTACACCTCAGACTTCCAGTACAAATCAGAGACCTGTCATCTACAGAAATACTCAGATGACTCTGCAGTTGTCGGGTGTATCAGAGATGGACAGGAAGCTGAGTACAGAGAGCTGGTGGAGCGCTTTGTGGCATGGTGTAGAAACAATCATCTGACCTTGAACGTAAACAAAACAAAGGAGATGATTCTAGACTTCAGAATAAACAGGGTGGAGTCAAACACAGTTTCCATCATGGGAGAAGAAGTAGAGGTGGTTGATGAATACAAATACCTTGGAGTTCACCTGGACAACAGACTGGACTGGAGAAAGAACAGCGAAGCCGTTTACAAGAAGGGACACAGCAGACTGCACTTCTTGAGGACGCTTAGGTCCTTTAATGTCTGTAGCAAGATGCTGCAGATCTTCTACAAGTCTGTTGTTGAGAGTGTAATCTCTTCAGCCATCATCTGTTGGGGTAGTAGCATCAGAAGCAGGGACCTGAAAAGGCTTAACAGCCTAATAAAAAAGGCTGGTTCTGTTCTGGGGACGACTGTGGAACCACTGGAGGAGATAATGCAAAGAAGGATTCTCCAGAGAATCAAGAAAATTATGGACAACCCTGAGCATTCTCTCCACAAGACTGTCCGACAACGGAAGAGTGGCTTCAGTCAGAGGCTTCTACAGTTTCGCTGCAACACTGATCGCTACCGGAGATCCTTCCTGCCAACAGCCATTGTAATATACAATAACTCTTTGATGACTTATTATTATTATTCTGAGCTACTACTGCAATCAATTTCCCTCTGGGATTAATAAAGTAGTTTTGAATTGAACTGAATTAATACTGTGGTAATTGCCGGTGATTGCGCCTCGACACAACAGAGGGAGGTGTCATGATCACACGGGGAGTCACTGCCGTGCTCCGGCCAGCAACTATATTGAAAGTAAACACGGGCTGTAAGTTTTGCTTTTGTAAACAGAATCAGCTGAGGCTGCAAACAAAGTGGTGCAGAGCTCCAGGAGCTTCTCTGTTAGAGCTGGAGGTCAGATTACCACTGCACAGGGACCGTCGAGGACAGACACCTTTAGGAGCGACTCGTTAAAAAATTTAATGAGTGCGGCATCAAATGCAACAAAAAGCAATTCATGTCTAAGATAAACTAGTCCGCAGCAGCACAGAGACCACCCCCATACCCCTTTATGCTGCCATCACATAATCTTTAGTAAAAAGGACACGATTGAGCAGCATTACAGCTATGGTCTGAGCACTTATAATGCTCCCTGATGCCACCACAGTGTTGTGGCAAATTAACAGCATGATTTTGTAAAAACAGCCTAGGCAGTTTTGCTTGCCTTTAGCACCCCCTAGTGTTTGTTATTAATCCTCTGTGGTCAAAGTGAAAACGAAACATATCTCCTTGCTGTGCGTTTGTCTTTTAACACCATAATCTAACAGCTGAAAGTCTCCCAGCCTTCAGTGGTTTTCATGAGTGACACATGATCACTAAATTAAACAAATCAGCTGTGTTATGATCGAAAACATGCAAGAAACATGATGGAACCAGACTGCAGCGCCCGAAATGTCAGCTCAATTTTTGTAAGTCCCAACAGAGCGGCCTGCCAGTCTGAAGTTGCAAATCTGGTATTCAGGCCACATAGTAAAGGGTTATTTTAGCACATAGTGGCTCAAGAGAGTGATTTAAAAATATGAAAAAGTTGCATAGTATGGCTTTAAGAAGACCGTGTGGTTAAGACGGGAAGGAAAACAGAACTGGTTAACCTTTTAACAACAACTATCCTTTCAATTAATTGTTTAAAAAAGAAAGAACAAAGCTAACTACAAATATTTTAAATGAACAAATAGTCTCGGGGGTGTAGCAGGGGTTGATCGTGAACGTTTTACTCATCGATTAACTGTGGAGCAGCAGGAGATGTCAGTATGTCAGAATAGCATGACTGATGGTCAGCATTTAGGAACAAACTGTGGTTTTCTATTTTTTTGATGGTGTCAAATGAAGACACTTTGACAGAACCAGCAAAGCAAAGCACTTTCGCTTTATTAAATACAGACATGAGATGTTTGTAGTAAAGTAAAACATACTTCTCAAGCGTGGCCAAAAGCGGGTCTGGTTCTGAGCAGCCCTGGACCTGAAACATCTGGTCTCTGCTTAGCCGGATGATCTCACATAAGGACTGAGAGGCATTGGAGTGTCTCTGCATCAAAACAAAAACATGAACAGCAACATTAAATGGCCTGAAGATTTCATCTTAAAATTCTGAAATGATGGTTTGTAAATAAGCACATTTTTTAAGGTTTCACCCAATAATGTGTACTGATGGGAGTTTTGTTTCCTAAACTATGTAGAACTGAATAGAAAGAAGATTAAAGGTCAGGTAAACATATGGATGTAGAGCAAAACGCACATCTTCGTCTTGAGAGGACTGCACCATGTCTACCAGTCTCTGGATCACCTTCTCCTCATTTAGCCACTGGAAGACAAACCAACATTCAAAATGAACAAATCTGAACCGTGAAATCATCATCATCATCATCATCATCATCATCAGAGTAATGCGTGAGCAAATATTAATAAGGGGCAGTTTTAAAAAGAATTATTTTACACAAGGAGGACAAAAAAAAAATTTTTTATCTGAATTTTTGTAACTTATACAACATATTAGGCCAGTGGAGAAACAATGAGGTATTGTGGAAACCTTACTGAAAACAAAACTACTGAATTACCACAATACATCCATATATTAGAAATTTAAGTATATAAAATAATATTTTGTTACACAGTTTCAAATTTTACAGACTATTATCAGTTTCCACATCAACTCTTCTTTGTGACTTTTCAAATAAATGTATCGATGTTTCAAAGCAACACAATTCATCACTTCTGCATCTTTTCTGGAAACGGTGGCGCAGGAGCTGAGATGCTGCCCTGTCACAATGGTGTCATGAGGAAATGATGAAACAGAACAAGAAGTTGATCAACTGCTGATTCGCCTCAAAGCTGAGAGAGGATGTCAAAGAGCAGAGGGAGGAGATCCTTCTCCCATGATTAGGCTTTTCTTTTGCAGGGGATTAATGACATAAGGTTGAATTTATACTGATCATCACCCAACGGCTCAACTCTGCCATGCTCTAATGTCAGTTTGTATCTGCAGTCTCTTTAAAATATGAGTTTTTAAGGGAAGAAGCGGAAAGTTCTGGGTGACTCGACACTAATGAGCCACAGCTTTCCAAGAGTTTTAGTCCAACGCTGGTTATGTCAAATTAGAATTGTGGTAAATGTTAATCCAGCATTGACAAAAACAATCATGGTTATATATTTTTTGATTGAACAGCTTGAATATTTTTACAGTTGGTCTGAGGTTGATAAACCGTGGCCGCTTTACTGGTTCACTTTGATATACACTACATTTTTTAAATACACATCAGTGGTATGAACATCCTTTAGAACAGCAGTTTAGGTAGGAAGGGATGAAGCGATTGAAAACGCTGAAAACATTGTTACTCACGTTTAGGACATCTTGTCGTAGCTGCTGAGGTTCAATGCATGTGAGCATTCTAAGCAACAGGTCCATGATAGCAGATGTCCCAATATGTTTGATCATCAAGTCTACAAAGTCCTCCCGCTTCCTCAGAAAGGTCACTATCTATGAAAAACACAGAAAGAATCTCTCATTTAAAATCTGGGCAAACTCCACTCCATAGTTCTACCTTTTGTTAAAGAGCAAGTTCTCTTGTTTTTCCAACACATTTGCAGTGGTCTCTAGTATAAATGAATGCCTTGTGTGGATCACTGAGGGAAAAGGCTCTGGCACTCCTGTTTGAGGAACAAGAAGTGAGTCAAGTCAGAGTTGAGCTTCAGACGGCAGGACTTGGGAGTCTTATTTCCTGATATTCAGATATTCTCATCTCTGATTGGCCAACAGCAACGTGACTCTGCCACTGACTCTGTTGGCTCTGCAATGTTGATGTTTCATTTCCACAAATAACACAAGCCTGAAGGAGTTCTGCTGTGTTGTGGAGTTGCTAATGCTAACAGTTAGCTTCTACTAGTTGAAACATTTTCTGCCTTCCCCTAGATGCTAATCAATAGCCTTACCCGTTCCAACCCAAGAGGGGTGACATGACGCGCTAATGTCACTGGCTTTGCTAATAAGAGTTTCTCCATCTATAGACAGCTTGACTGTTATTGTTGACATTCAGGTAATCGCGCACAAAAGAGCCTCTGCAGCTGCTATTCAGAGCTGTATCTCTGTAATTTAAGACAACGACATAAAACCTAGAGATTTAGATAATCTGACACACCTTTGCTCTCTTCCACGTTTTGCTGGTTAACATAGAATTGCAGTGACACCATTCGTCTTTGGAAATAAACAGGTTCTTTGTTTATTCTGATGAGCAACGTAAACAAAAACATGAAATGAACAACATCTTTAAGTGTAATTATTATAACAAGACTGTTACCATGGGTCACAAAAAGAACTGCACCCGCGTTTCACACACAGTTATTTCTCAGGACTGATCTGATGTTATATGGAAGACTATTTTCATATTTAACCTGCACGTGAAACTCATATCTAAGAAAAACAAGTAAAAAATGTTTCTCAGTGAACGTGGTCTTAAAAGAACAAACAACATTGACATAATCGGACGTTCCCACTAGAGATAAAGGCATCCATCTTTGTACTGTAATGACATCCACAGCTGCTTTTCAAGCACGTACCTGTTCAGGCTTGCGTCCTATGAGAATAGAGAGGACTTTGGAGAAAAAGCTGGCAAGGAGTGGATTGAGAGGGGGTTCATTCTTCAGGAAGCAATACAGTTTCATCAGCAGCTGTTCATCTTCTCCCAGTCGGTCATTAATTTGTCCCACATCAGACGTAAGCAGCTCACATGATATGTTGGGATACCTTCAAAAAACAAAAGCTTGATTGTCCAGCACTTTTTGTTTGCTTGTTCCTACAAGTTAAATTACTGCTCTAATTACAAGACCACAGTAAAGACGACCTTAAGAACAGTTACTGGCGCGTTTAATGTTTGTGGAAGTGAAGCAGGGAGGTGAAATGTTACTGACTGGTTAGGATCTGGGGAACTACCACCACCACGAGCTGGTCACTTAATGAATTTTAATCTCAATCACAATCTGGCTTTTTAACAATCAATAAAACAAAAGGAGCCAAATATTTGCTCATCCCTCAGTTTACTCTTGCGCTGCTCCGAGATGCAAATCGAGCGCACCTCCCATGCAGTCATGCCAACTTAGCAACTTATTTTTCAGAACCACTCAATCACTATTTTTCAAAAGGCACCTACTAACAACCCGGTGATATTTTGATGACCCTTAGATGTTCTGTAGAACTTTGTTGTCGATCTTCTCTGTAGGTTAGCTAAAAATCCAGCCTGTGCTCCCAACCGTTCTCCCAGACATTAGAAAAGGGAATGAAGTGCGCATGCGCAGCATGACCATGTTACATTGATTGACAGTCATTACCCTTTCTAGGCTGATCACACCAGTTGCTTTACAAGCAAAACAAATTCAAGATACAGCAAACTAGGGCTGCACGATATTAGGAAAACCTGCGATATTCGATAACAGTGATTAATATTGCGATGACGATATTACTTGTGATAAATAAAAACTTAACTCAGGAACTAAAATAATCTAAAACAAATAAAAAAAAGTAATAAACATGAGAAAAGTAAAAGATGTGAGGAAAGGGAACAAGAAAAGGCGATCAGTGGATCCCGGGAAAAGCAGAATCAGCAGAAAGAGCAGAACTAAGCTAACTCAGGTGTTTGCTAACCATCAAAATTAAGGGCCGTCCGCCTTGGGGGCGGGACTCTAACCTATGAGAACCCACCCAATTGGCCAAATGGGTGAAGAGCTCTATTTGATTTGTTAAAGAAACGTAATACTTCTGTTTGATTGACAGAACGCATTATGTGTAGCAAACATTTGAGCTGACCATTCATTACGATATTTATCTGTTCTTTGCGATATGCATATTGTGCATTCTGATATTGCGATAACGATATATTTAAGATATATTGTGCAGCCCTACAGCAAACCATATCCAACGTGGCTATTTATTCTGTTTGGGCTTCCAACCGTCACTCTGAGTGTCAGACTGTTTTCATGTACTCACTTTACAACTTGAATTCTTCATAAATAACAGTTGATCCATCTGAGCCACATGCTGCATGGCACTACTGTGGGACATTTTAAATAAACACATGAAAGTAACCAAGTAAATAAACTACATTTCATTTCTGTAATTTTATTATTTACTTTCGCTTTTAGATGTTTAAACCTGTGGTCTGTAGCATGTCGTCATCAAGGTGGAGGAGGAGATTTTGAAATCTAAAACAGCTAAAGGTCCATTTCCTACTATTGTAAACTTTTCTTTGACTAAAGAGCTGTACATATTCCTGCTTCCAAGCGGCCCACCTTAAAAAATGACAGTAAGCATATATTTATTAGTGACATCCTAATCCACGATGCGGCTGGCAAAAATGGTGATTTATGAATGGTCAGGAACTGCCTAAAGACAATGTTTGCATCCATGTTGCAGAAAAGTCACTGAGATGCATACATGAAGGTAAAAAAGTGGAAAAATGTCCTTCTCAACAAACAAATGTTTGTTGCCTGTATGGCTAAAGCCTAATTTATACTTTTTAGATTTAGAAGCACTCAAATTGACAGAGGTGTTTTGCTCTCGGACTTCTCCGTCAGATGAGGATTGTTGCAGAACAATTCCCCGCCAGGACAGCAGAGGGCGTAGCTCTGTTCTGAGGTATTCTGCCACCATACAGTCATGTATCTGGTCCACAATAGTGTATTTACTATTGTGTTTATATTGTTTAAAAGTACTTCAGAAGGACACATTTGTCCCGCGTCCACCTCTTCATGCAACCGGTACCTCTAAACTCACGTTTTTGCCATTTTCATCCACGAATAAGACACTTGCTGCATATCTCTGTACTCCTTCAGTCACATGTGAATAAAAGTTAATATTTTTATATTTTGTACGTGACGCCTTCTTCAATCTGTCTACAGCTAAATATCGTTTTACTTTTTGAGGGGGCAAAGACGATGCTGTTGACGAATTTACTGGAGGCAGCATCCTGACCAATCACAAGCTTGCGGTCTCTGTCACTTTCAACGAATAGTTAAAAATTTGGGCATGTATCCGTCACACCCTCTGCAAGCCCGTCAGAGAGCTCTTGACCAACACATAAAGGCGTTGCATGTCTCCGCTCAGACGCAGAAGTATAAATAAGGCTTAAGCTTACAGTTTACTCAAAGTTGTTCTTTAAGAATGTATGTGTGTAATTTGACAGAGACATTTCTTTTAGGGGAATTTGTTTGTATTTCAGGTGTAGAGTACATTTGAAATGGGAAAAATGTCGACAGAGAAATCTGGACACTCAACAGCATTTTAAAGTTCATCCTGGTCGCTCCCCTTCAGCATCATTTTCTCTTACTTGTATTTAACTTTTTCCTCAACATCTGCTCTGGGTTCCTGTGTGATGAAAGTGACAAGGTCCTCCATGCACTGTGGTCTCAACAGGAAGTCAACCAACTTGTGGTTCTGAGCTTTGCATTCCTGCAGGACATCATCCTCATCCATCACCTCCAAAAGAGTCACATCTTCTTTCTCCAAGAGTGTGTCGATGTGGGATGTGGTATGAAGGTCAAATTTCCAAAACATTTTGGCTCTAAAACAAAACAAAGATGACAGACACAACCCATCACAAATTAGATTTTTAAAGGTCACATTTACATACTTATCTGATGGCTTGTGCACTGTGGAAATTATAAACAAATCAGGTAAACATTTTATTTCCACTACAACACCAATAGGAGCCGGTAAGTCCTGGTAATTTTAGTGCTGATTTTTAAAGTTTCTGAGAAAATTTTTCAAAAAGCAAACAAAATTAAAGCTGCAAGCAGCGTCGTTCGGCCTCGCAGCTCCGCGTCACTCCAGCCTGGCCGGCAGCCTGGAGCACCCGGGCACGTCCGCAGAAGCGCCGACCACCCCGACACCAGAAACCGCGAACGCTCTCCTCGTCCGCACCTCACCCTGACTCAGCCTCTCCTCTGAGCCCACCATTAAATTACACGTCTCACCACTAGAGGATACTCTATCTTTACCACACTGGTGGTGTTATGACACAGACCAAAGTTAATGCTATTCTGACCAAGTTTTTTGAAGTAATCGAAGGTTAAAGTTATCTAGGGGGCACTGTGACCAACTACAGAAAAATCCCAAAACTCCATTTTCTTTGCGATTATTTTTGAGACCTTTAAAATATCAAATTTTTCACCACACATGACAAGTTTGCAAAATATTGTGAGTTTTGGGATATGATAAGGTCCCCAAAAAGCCATTCAAAGGGGCACAAGAATAGTACCTGATCGATATATTGGCCGGCCGATATCGGCCGATATTGAGGTCAATAACAGTATCGGCTAATATGGCCGATATTGTGCTACCTATCCAGCAGATGGCGCCAGCTTTATGAACTCATGTTGTGTGGCTCCACTCCTTTGAACACACTTACAGGTGCTTAGGGATGAGTACCGAATTCGGTACTTTTTAAGGTACCGACCGAATTCCATAGAACCGACCTAACACCGATTCACGTCATTTCAAACGGTGCCTCGTTTCGGTACTGCCAAGACAGTTGCGCATGCGCAAGAGCGTTATGTCGCCGGTCCCTGCGAGCCCGTTGTAAACAGAGCAAGCATGGTAGAAAGAACGCACGCTAAAGCTTGGGTCCACTTCACTAAATGTGATGGGTAACTGGGTGATGAAACTAGCGACAGACAACGATCTAAGTGAGACATCCTCATCTTAATCTGCTCCAGTAGGTAAATAAAATGTTTAAGATAACGTTACCTTGATTTGTTAGCTTCCGTTTCGCTAATGGTGCGTTCGCTTTCTCCTCGGAACTCCGAATTTCCGACTAGAAGAACATGAACGCGCTCTAAAGTTTGGCTTTACTTTACTAAATGCGACGGGTGATTGGGTGAAGGTAAAACCAGTGACAACGATCTAAGTTTGAGGCATCATCGTTTTAATCTGCTCCAGCAGCTAAATAAACTGTTAAAGATAACGTTAGCTTGATATGTTAGCTTCCATTGCCACCATTGTTATCAGCTAATGGTGCGTTCGCTTTCTCCTCGGAAATTCTAACTTCCCAGTAGGAAAAATCAAATGAAAAAGGACGGCAAAAGGAATGAAGATACACAGTAAATTTAGTTCACAGTAAAGATGTTTGCTTCAGTTTAACTATCAGCTTATAAAACTACAAGGACGATGTTAAAATACAAACTTGTATGTTATTTATCGTGATATTTATCAAATATGGTTATATATTGAGAAAAATATATATTTAATTATAAAAGAGAATTAAAATAATAAACACTCAAAAGTATCGAAAATTGGTACCGTTAAGTACCGGTATCGACTCGTAGGTACCGGGAATTAGTACCGGATCGATTCAAATGTCAAAGGTACCCATCCCTACAGGTGCTGGCCAGTAAATTAGAATATCATCAAAAGGTTGAAAATATTTCAGTAATTCCATTCAAAACGTGAAACTTGTACATTATATTCATGCAATGCACACAGACCAATGTATTTCCAATGTTCATTACATTTAAATTTGATATTCATAAGTGACAACTAATGAAAACTCCAAATTTGGTATCTCAAAAAATTAGAATATTCTGAAAAGGCTGAATATAGAAGACACCTGCTGCCACTCTAATCAGCTGATTTACTCAAAACACCTGCAAAGGCCTTTAAAAGGTCCCTCAGTCTTGTTTTGAAGGCACCACAATCATGGGGAAGACTTCTGACTTAACAGCTGTCCAAAAGACAATCATTGACACCTTGCACAAGGAGGGCAAGACACAAAAGGTGATTGCTAAAGAAGCTGGCTGTTCGCAGAGCTCTGTGTCCAAGCACATTAACAGACAGGCGAAGGGACGGAAAAAATGTGGTAGAAAAAAGTGTACAAGCTCTAGGGATAACCGCACCCTGCAGAGAATTGTGACGACAAACCCATTCAAAAATGTGGGGGAGATCCACAAAGAGTGGACTGCAGCTGGAGTCAGCGCTTCAAGAACCACCACGAGGAGACTCATGAAAGACATGGGATTCAGGTGTCGCATTCCGTGTGTCAAGCCACTCCTGAACAAGAAACAGCGCAAGAAGCGTCTCGCCTGGGCCAAGGACAAAAAGGACTGGACTGATGCTGAGTGGTCCAAAGTTATGTTTTCTGATGAAAGCAAGTTCTGCATTTCCTTTGGAAATCAAGGACCCAGAGTCTGGAGGAAGAGCGGAGAAGCACAGAATCCACGTTGCATGAGGTCCAGTGTAAAGTTTCCACCGTCAGTGATGGTGTGGGGTGCCATGTCATCTGCCGGTGTTGGCCCACTCGGTTTCCTGAGGTCCAGGGTCAATGCAGCCGTCTACCAGGAAGTTTTAGAGCACTTCATGCTTCCTGCTGCTGACCAACTTTATGGGGATGCAGACTTCACCTTTCAACAGGACTTGGCACCTGCACACAGTGCCAAAACCACCAGCACCTGGTTCAAGGACCATGGTATCCCTGTCCTTGATTGGCCAGCAAACTCGCCTGACCTTAACCCCATAGAAAATCTATGGGGTATTGTGAAGCGGAGGATGCAATACGCTAGACCCAACAATGCAGAGGAGCTGAAGATGACTATCAGAGCAACCTGGGCTCTCATAACACCTGAGCAGTGCCACAGACTGATCGAGTCCATGCCACGCCGCATTACTGCAGTTATTGAGGCAAAAGGAGCCCCGACTAAGTATTGAGTGCTATACATGCACATTCTTTTCATGTTCATTCTTTTCAGTTGGCCAACATTAGAGAAACAAACATTTTTTCATTGGCCTTTAGAATATTCTAATTTTCTGAGATACCAGATTTGATGTTTTCATTGGTTGTCACCTATAAATATCAAAAATAAACGTAATAAACATCGGAAATACATTGGTCTGTGTGCATTGCATGAATATAATGTACAAGTTTCACGTTTTGAATGGAATTACTGAAATATTTTCAACCTTTTGATGATATTCTAATTTACTGGCCAGCACCTGTATTTATGTTTCTTATGTGCAATTATTTCCTGTCCAGGGTGAATAAGTTCACCAAGTTAACTTCCACAGAGTGTTACTTTGTTACAAAGCACAAGTATTACGTTTTATTTATTGCTGCATTTTTATTTTAATATTCTTATTGGGATCTAAACTTGTGTGTGTTGTTAGATTCCCCAGAGTTAGCTAAGTCAGAAAAAACATGTTGTAACCAGTTGTTTTAGCATAAAGCAATGGAAGGGAAGGCTTGCGTTCACCTACATAAAAAACACTACAATGTAAGTGAATTCACTTACATTGTTTTATGCTAAACTAAGAAAACCATCTGCTGCCAGATCAAATTGGGCTGGTTCTAAAATGTTTTTTCTGACTTGTCTAACTCTGGGGAATCTTAACAAGACACAATTTTACTGAGTGGTGGAATATTCCTTTAAGTTAAAATGTATTTGTGGAAACCACAGTTTACAAGAAAAAACTTGAATGTTAGATTTATGCTGAGACAGAGTTTGTGTGTTCTGTTGTTTTTGAGATCTGCTAAATAAATCTTATTTGCATTACTTGGAAACCCTAGTGAGTTATTGAGACAGTTCTTTGGTGTGTAATAGAGAAATAAGTTAGCATCAAAAAGGCAGAGAATGAAGGGTTTAAGCTTAAGAAATTTTTTTTATTTCTTTTTTGTGCGGGAGATTTATCAGCCATTATATCGGCTATCGGCCTTTGTTAAAAGTTTTATATCGGTATTGGTACCAAAAAAAGCATATCGGTCGGGCCCTACACAAGAATAACAAAAAAATAATAAACGGAGGAAAAACAAGAGGTCTTTGCAGCGCTTTCGCTGCTCGGGCCTAATTATTTGCAAGTCTTGCTGTTTTCAGATCCCATTCACTTCCTAAACCCAACTAACCTAGTGGCAACTCTGATGACTCTTAGCTCATTTCTGTATAATCTTTATTTATATTCCCTGTAGACTAACAAAAAACTCAGCCTGCACTCCAGACGTCCTTCAAGACATTTTAACAGGTGAATGATGTGGTTATGAGTTGCATGATCATGTTACCTTGACTGACCAATAATAAACCTTCTCAGTAGATCTAACTCGCTCTCAAAACCAGTTGTTTTAAAAGCAACATCAATTCAAGATAGAGCGAGCCATATCTGAAGTGGATGTATCTTCCATCAGGGCCACAAACTCATGCAATGAACACAAAACAAACATCTGACTAACTTCATGCAATCTCCGGATATACCTCCGATTTCTCAGGCTGGAAAATGGTTAATCTGAGCTACATGTTTCTTAATGAAAATAATAACACGCCTCCACAGCATTGCTGGACACAGTACTAAATACTGAATACCTGAAGACCCTGCTCTTCAGAGAGCATCTTCTTAACTAGCACCCTCCTTGCACCCGTCCCCAGTGTTGGGAACGTTACTTTAAAAAAGTAATTAGTTATAGTTACTGATTACTTTGTCAAAAAAGTAACTCAGTTACTAACTGAGTTACAAGATCATAAAAGTAACTAATTACCAACAAAAGTAACTACTTAGTTACTTTTTTCATTAAAGAATGCAAGAATTACTACAATAGTAAAATATAAATGACTAATGACTGAACATAATAAAATGTATGTCCAAATGTTTTATATAAACCTGAATAATTTAAACAAATACGCACTTAACAGGAGGAACTACTAATAGGAACATTACACTAATCTAGACTATTAAAAGGTCACTGTGTGATATTTAACAAAAACCCAATCAGCTAAAATTTAAAATTGCAAATAGAAACACCTGTAAAGGTTCCCGAGCCTTTAAATCTCAGTCTAGTTAAATTACAGAAATAAATGTAATTTTGCACAGTATTCTAATTTTTCCAGCTTCACACAATTGTGTGTTTTTACTAGCATTTCTGTTGCTGGTAATCTAGTAACGGTTAAATAAATAGATAAATATCCTTTAAAATGACACTAGAAGAGGCACAGATCTGATGGAGGACTCACATTTACTAACTTGGGTCAGACCCAACCACAGAAGAGCTGAAGCTGGGTGGTAAACACACACAGGTAGTTCTAATAACACCTGAGCTCCATGCCATCTGAGACTGATGCATCAGTGTTACAGCGGGACTAAAGACATGATCAGGAACAGGTTACAGCTGGATGATCTAGGAAGGCAGAAGATCAGGACGTCTGAGTGGTGAACAGGTGAGCGGACCTTCGGGACGTCCCGCTGTCACGCTAAGGGCACGGCTGCAGACCCGCAGATTCGCTGCTGCAGCAACAAGTCTGCGGGGGGTCTGCAGCCGTAGATATTCATCACGTCTTCCTCGTTCTTCACGGGCCGTGACGCACTTGGATGAAAACATCTACCTCTTTAGCTCCTGATCAGCTGATGATGACAGCTTCAACACACCGCGCTGCTTAACGCACGCATTTTCTTATCAGTAACAGAAACGATGTTTTGATAAAAGAAGACGTAATTAATTAGTTTGCTCGTTACAGAAAGAAATATTTTTTTATTAATGCGGTTATTTTAAACGGAGTTATTCCCGTTGTGTCTACAGAATGCAGCGACTGAGACAGTGAGACAGTGAGGGTCTCCGCCCACCCGGTCAAGCATCATCGTGTTTGTAAGTGCGTTACCGACACCTCTCTCTCCCTGGCTGCAACGGAAGTGTGGCGGTCAGAAAGCCTCACACTGTTGCTCAACGTTCGACAAGCACATAGTAACGCACAACCTTCCGTCCCCAGTAACGGTAACGGCGTTGCAACGGCGGGAAAAGTAATTAATTAGATTATCCCGTTACCTATAAAAGAACGCCGTTAGAAACGCCGTTATACTTAAACGGCGTTACTCCCAACACTGCCCGTCCCCCCTCTCTACTGTCCACTCCTTGTTCCCTCCTCTCCATGACTGATGTCAAGTTGTTGTTGTTATTGTCGTTAGCCTCAAGGGTAATCTGCCGATTATCACTTGTGAGTCGCTTTGGACAGAAGCGTCTGCTAAATACATAAACATAAATATTATGCAGCAGGTTGTGGACGTTCACTCTAACAAATGTTTACATTTTTCTAATTATTTTAATATCACAAACGTTTGCACAGCATCTCTTCTGTTATCAGTACTTGTGTTTAAATATCATGTTAAAAAACCAAGATCTCAAATTCTGTAAAAATAATTGAGCAGCCCTAACTGATGCCACAGGACCGTTACCACATCATGCAGCATGATGCTTGGCTCTCAGCTGAAGCAAGAGCAACTTACTCTGGAGAAGATGAATTCAAAGATAAACTAACATATGTTGTGCTAAAATGGCCCTTTACAGGGTGAATGAATAGTCTCTCAGCCCTCTCTGCTCATTGTGGGCAGAATACCTCCTTTGCATCTTGAGTGAGGTGAAACGCTCTAAAGTAAAGTATCTCGCAAGAAGCAGTAACGATTTATGGCAATCCAGGTTGTCATTTAAGAGACATAGATTTGACTGGGAAATTCTCCTATTTTACCCATTTCCAGCTGTTTTCAATTCACTGAAAAACATTCTATATGGAAAGCAGTTACAACATATGATCAAATGCATTTTGAAACATGTCATTTGAGTATTTATTAGCTTATCCAAGTCATCTCCCTGCGCTGATTGGAAAAATGTAGTATTGGTGCATCCCTCACACACACACACACACACACACACACACACACACACACACACACACACACACACACACACACAGAGCAACTCTGCATCAAAACTAAATGAAAAAGTAAAAAAAAAAAAAATACATCCATCCAGCTACAAGAACTGCTGTGAGTGGCCCGAGTTCTCTCAAAAAAGCAAGGAACAAGAAATGGAAAGTATTTGTTTAAATATTACATGCTTAAACAATTAAGGGCAACGGTTTGTTTTGTTTATTCGGTCATCAACACCTTCACCAGACCCTTTGGTGTACAATTGTCTCCCAAAATCCGGAATAAGAGAAAAAAAAAACACCGATTTTCAACTACGCCTGAGAACCAGTCACTGTCAGAACCAAACAACGACGAAAAATTTTGCCCACACCACGTTAAAACTGTGTTTAACTTTAGAGTTATTTTTAAATTCCTTGCTAATACAGTTGAGCTTATTTTACTTGCCCGTTGTTTGCGCACAAGTAAAATAAGCTAGATCAGGCGGATGGAGAAACTGAAGCACATACAAGTGCAGTAAACCACAATTGATGACTATTAATTACTCTAACCACGTAACCGCTAAATCGACCCACAAGAAAACTAGTATACCAAATGCAGGTTGTTTGGACTGAGCTCTACTTGCCGCGCGATATTTAAAAAATAAACAATGTCATTAAAGCCTTTATCACTCAAGGCGCTGGTACCTAAATACTTAGCAAAAACACCGGCTTGGGCTAACGCTAATTACGTCCAGTTTATCGGTATTAGCAAACTACACATTTTGTACATTTTACAACACACGTCTGTTATAAAAACGTTTAATTTGTATAAATAAAAAAGCAGGGATTTTAAATAGCATCCCATGACGATAATATTGCTATTTTCCTTTTGCTAGCTGACTAAAGCTAACGTTAGCCGGTTTGAGAAGGCTGATGGCTAGTCGTGTCAGAAGCAGCTGACAAGTGTACCTACCGATTGACAGAGGTAAACTACAAGTCTTGACCATGTAGCCTATCCTTCCATTAGCTTGTGCCTGGACAAAACCAAAGCAACGATAGCACGGAAGTCCGGTTAAGAAAAATAACGCGTTTAAAACTGATTCTGTCAAGCGCGAAAGCATAGATCACTGGAGTGCACTTTTCAAGATGGCGGTTCCGTCAACTTCAAAAACCCCTTCCCCCACTAGAGCTGCAACGTTTGTCGAACTATTTCCACAAAACTATTGGTCTAAGGTCCCGTCACTCAAATTGTCCCGAGTTTTGATTGGATACTGATCTGGTTACTTCCGGTGTTCAACTGACACAAGCCTTCCGAGAACTGCATGAACTATCGCGAGAACGCACATAGCCAAATAACAGTACACGGGTTCCACTATAGATTATTGCTTGCAAGTAAACTTTTTTGAAGATTTTTGATCATGGCAATAATTAATATCAGGTATATATAAATATATATATTTATTTTCATGATTTAGTTTTTTTATGTTTAAAAACGTCATTGAACGTCTCTTCAGTTCATATTTCTTATTTATCAGGACTGTGCAGACATTTGAAGGAGTGCGTGCTCAAAGTTAAAAAAGGGCATATATAGAGAAAGACTTTTAAAGAGATTTACGATCCAACAAGTTTTGAAAATTCAGCTGATGATAGAACAATATTGGGTTCAGACAAAATAACAACAAAGCATTTACGTTTGTGTTATTAATTTAAGTAATGTTATTTCTAACATTTCTAACATTATTAATTGTTTTAGTTTTTAAAGTTGACTTATGGGACGTTCCCACCACATTTTCTGCCCCTGATCTGATTTAAAGTTATTTGATTTGGATTTATATGGTGTCAGAATTCCGCCATATCTCGTGCATGCATATTGTCCACATCGCGCGTGCGAACGGGACTCGCGCGTGGAAGTTAGAACCTCCACGAGTAAAGATATACATGGCGAGGAGGTCATTTGTACACTGAGAGGGAGCAAACTTTGTCTGTGAGTGCACAAGGATGTGCACAAGTGACAAAACTGCGTGCACGCATTGGCCAACGAGCACGCTAGCAGAGCTCTGTGAAGCTGACCCCCCGTCAGCTTCAAAAGTGGAGGCAAATAGGCTGCTCGGTTAGTGCTTTGTTTGTGCTGATTTGTGCAGGTGAAACTGACGTTTGTGCTGCTATGGTTTTTGAGATATTAAACTTTATTTAATAGGTCATTCAGAGGTCATCGTCCCCCCGGACTACTCCAAACTGCTCCAAAATGGACAACAATAGTCTACTTTTTTAGTGCTTTATTTGTGCTGATTTGTGCAGGTGAAACTGACGTTTGTGCTGCTATGGTTTCTGAGATATTACACATTTTAATTTTGCATGATGACATCATCAAATTCCCAAAATGCTCCAAAATGGACCACAATAGTCTAGTGCTTTGTTTGTGCTGATTTGTGCAGGTGAAACTGACGTTTGTGCTGCTATGGTTTCTGAGATATTAAACTTTATTTAATAGGTCATTCAGAGGGCACCATCCCCCCAGACTACTCCAAACTGCTCCACAATGGACCACAATAGTCTACTTTTTTAGTGTTTGTTTGTGCTTTGTTTGTGCTGATGACGCATGTTTTCCTCTGCTGTGTGCTCGTTGGCCAACGCGCGCACGCAGGTTTGTCACTTGTGCACATCCTTGTGTGCTCACAGACAGTTTGCTCCCTCTCAGTGTACAAATGACCTCCTCGCCATGTATATCTTCACTCGTGGAGGTTCTAACTTCCGCGCGCGAGTCCCGTTCGCACGTGCGATGTGGACAATACGCGTGCACGAGATGTGGCGGAATTCTGATGCCATAGATTAACCACTGATATGGAGTCCCTTCAGCAATGCATTAAAAAGGAAGAAAATTTTTAGAGCTAATTTAGAAGTCATTTTGTTAATTTATACTTTAAAAAAATTAACAGTCATGCAGGAAGTACATTGAACTAGCCTGGTGAATTAGACCAAATTCTTGCCTTGCAAAGTTTCATTTAGTCTGGCTTGCCAGGCTAACATTGAACAGTATGCAACCACAGACAGTTATCCAGTGTGAAAACTGCTGCATTGGCTGTGAACTTTTACTCTGTTTTTTAACATTTTAGTGACAGCTGGCTCAGTTTTTTGTGCGAGCTGCAGTGAAATTGAAACTTTTCCACCTTTGCTCCCTTTCAGACAGTAACCGTATCAAGTGGTAAAAATGATCAAATACATGTTTCACCATTTCATCAGGATCAGAAACTGTGAGTCATGTAGAAAAAATAATGGAAATATGAAAAGACGTTGCAAATTCCTCAAATGATGGACAGCATATAACCACAGTAAAATAGTGAAATATTTATTGGTTATAGTATCGGTGACCCCTTAGTAGAATGTCTAGAGACTTTGTTATCACCTCTCCAAGCATTTTGGAGAAATTAATTCCTGGAAACTGTCATGTTCTGTGTGTTGTTGGCCCTATCTCCATCCATGTTTTCCCCTCCTTGTTATGCCATTTGTTTACAGTAAATTGGGTATTTTTATCCCCTGCCCTTTAGTTCTGTAACCTTTTAGGTCTTTAGTTTATTTTTTTCCTAGCTCTCCGGCGTCTTGAGTTCTTTAGTGTTTAGAATTATTTGTATTCATTATGTTTTACAGATTTTCAGGTCTAGTTTCCTCCTCTGCTTTGTTTTGAACCCCCCCCCCCCCCCCCCCCAACCAACACTCAGTTACATAAATCTCACCTTCTTGTTGTTCCCTCAGTCCTCAGCCACCCAGTCCTCCAATGTCACCAGCCTATAGTTTTTATTTTTCATGTTTTGGTTATTCTTATGGTTATTCTTTGGTTCTATCCAGCCTTTAAGTTTACCCTTATAGTTTTATCCTTAGTTCCCTGTTTTTATGTATAGTTTGCAGAGGTGTGGACTCGAGTCACATGACTTGGACTCAAGTTAGACTCGAGTCATTACTTTAATGACTTCTGACTTGACTTGATAAAATCTATAAACACTTACAACTTGACCCAGACTTGAACGCCAATGTCTTGCGACTAGAATCGACTTGCATCTGTTGACTTGATGACTTGAGCATTTTTGATATTTTAACACAAAAGTGGCACGGCATGGACAAAAATCATAAACCGTTCTTCGTTCTGGGTTTGATCTTGTACTGCTAACTGCAGCAGCACAAATAAATAAAGCTTTAAGAAGCTTTATTTCTGGAATTTATTGATGATCAACTGTTGGACAGATGACTTGATTTTGACTTGAGAATTCAAAGTTAAGGATTTGGACTTGACTTGGACTTCATGATTATTGACTTTGGACTTCACTTGGACTGAGTTGTCTTTGACTTGGACTTGACTCGAGACTTGACTGGAAAGACTTGTGACTTGCAACGCAGTGACTTGTTCACACCTCTGATAGTTTGTCTCCTATTCTGGTTTATTGTGTTTTCACCCGACTCTGTTTCCACCTGCTCCCTGTTTTCCCTGCTTACTTCCCTCGGTGTATAAAACCCTGCCTTGTGTTTGTTGAGTCGTTGTTCCTTTCTGCTCATAGGTTTGAGATTTCGCTTTGGCTTCCAGTGTTTTTGTATGCAAGACTTATATTCAAGCCCTTTGGATTTTTCGCGACTCCTCCTGAATGAAGGATTATTGTTTTGAACTCCAACTCTCAGTGTGTTCTGGGTTTCCTGCAATTTGGGTCCAACTTTCTACTCAAAGTGACAAAATGACACAAGCCGCTATTTTGCATTGACATAAATTTGTATTTTGCGCTAGTAGTTCCCCAAAAATCCACAGTGAAATGATGAAATGTTTATACTGGTTACAGTATAGGTGACCCGTGACCCCCTTTAGTAGAATGTGAAGATACTTTTTGTTACCTCTTAAGATTTTGGAGAAATCGTTTCCTGAGTGTGACATAAACGTTTACTTGACCTATTTTCCAAAAATATCGAGCAAATGTCTAACATTTTGTTCTGGGTATCGTATGGAAGTATTAGGTAAACTATATGAATATTTTTGATGGTTAAGCGCCTCCCACTTCCCCGTCATTTTGTCGTTTTCGCCTGAAAGGTCACCCCAATGCTCCATTACCGTAATGCACCGTATACGCGCGAAACTAATCTTTAGATGAGCTCAATCGTCGGCTCACTTGACCGCACGTCACGTCATACACTACTAAGCATAGAAAAGTACCAAAATATGCAAATAAATAACACATAAAGGTGTTTGGGTGCTTCGTTTTTGAAATAAATCTTTATTATTATTATTATTATTTTACAATGCTTGGAGGTGCAGAGAAAAAAAACTAAGCTAGCACTGTGATTTGTTAAACAAAAACAAATAAATGTATCAGTGTATTTGGCGCTCAGTATCAATATACTTAAATTTGAAAGCAGACCTTTAAATGCGACCGTGATCTCAGAGACTGCGTAAATCCTTTTCCTCTAATCGCTTTATCTGCTTTCAGATCACGCAGTCAGCGGAGGGTGAACACGCACACACACACCCTGACGGATTACACACGCTGCCATCTTTATCATAACAAAATGGATATACATGTTATTATAGAGCAAATGGAGACGGGAGATCAGGACGCTGCGCTGTCTGCACTGCAACGCTTCAACAGAGAGGTAAATAAAAACAACTCCGATATCGTCCAGGACGTGTTGTTAGGCTGCATCCGCTTCCAGTGTCAAGTAGGCGTTCGTCTGACTCCTCTGCATTTCCAAAAGGCAAATGGTAAAAAAAAAAAAAAAAAAAAAAAAAAAAAAAAATCTGTGTCAATTTCCAAAGTGCTGAGAATCTTAAGGCACGATGAAGGTCCCCAAAACCAGGTAAAGGCTACCTCCAAGTTTTGGGTTTGAATATAAGATGAGATGAGACTTTATTGATCCCACAGTGGGGAAATTTGTGCGTTTTCACAGCTCAGACAGATAGAAAAGGAAGTGACCAAGAATGCAAAAAATAAAACAGTAGTTCCTTGACACATTCACAGTAAGCATTATGGATAGGGGTTGTGAAACATTGTGGAAGTAATAATATATAACAAGTACCAGCTGTTCTTCAACAACCTTTTACTGATTATGTGATATATATCTTATACAGGCATGAACGTGCAGCACATGTACAAATGGACATATATCAGGTGTATTATGCATGGAGTACTGACCATAGAGGTAAAGTGGCTGGGTGACTCATGAAATCATTTGTTATAAATCCTAATTGCTGATGGAATAGGAAGCGCTCCTTCCTGCAGCGGGTGCGTATCAGTCTCTGACTGAAGGAGCGGCTCAGCACACCCACCGACTCGTGCAGAGGGTGATGTGGGTTGTTCATGATGGTTGTCAGCTTAGCAAACATCCTCCTCTTGTCTACCACCACCACTGACTCCAGAGCGTCATGGTTTTCTCTATTAAGATATTTGACCCACATACAATATGACTCTCAGGAGACCAGGAGATGTAGAAATAAAAATAGTTTATTAGGGAGGTGAGCGGAGGCTGGTAGGGATGGGCTGGTTCCGGAGCTAGAGATTGGATCACTGGAAGAAATGACGCACGAAATGATGATTGGGACGAGGAGGAATATATATCATATAGCAGGGAGAGTACTGAGATTCGGTTGTAGCAGAGCGTGGGAGATCTGAGCCGGTACCGGGGCTGTGGGTCGACGTGGAGGTTCCGGAGCAGTGAGGTGTGTTGTTGGAGGGTGGACAGGAGACGCACGGGAGGAGAACAGGGCCGGGTAGGATTCAGCCGTGGTTCAGGAGGTCCGAAGGGATTTGCAGAGGCTGGTATGAGAGACAGAAATCTTCAACACGAAGGTGTAATCCAGAGCGGGTTCTTAGGAATCCACTAAGGCAAACAATCTGGTGCTGAGTGGCTGGTTCACTGGCTCATTTATTCCTCCCGTCTAATTACATGATGGGCTGCCGGTGAGCTGGGTGACTCTGTAGCCGAGGTAATTAGCTGGACGGAGGCTCCCTAAGTGTCTCCCTAGCCTTCCAACAACCTGTGAAGAAGAAATGTGAACCCACAACCCCAGTACCTGACACAGAGGACATCCAGAGCTAGACCTCCGCACCAGTTTTTCAATCCTGCTCCTGCCTATACATCTGCTCCCCCAATGGGCCACTGTATAGAAAAGGGCAGATGCCACCACAGACTCATAAAAGTCCTTAACAGAGTCCTGCATACTCCGAAATACCTCAGTCTCCTCAGCAGGTGGAGTCAACTTTGGCCCTTCTTATACAAGGTGTCAGTATTTGTAGACCAGTCCAGTTTAATGTTGAGGTGAACCCCCAGGTACTTGTAAGAATCCACTATCTCAGTGTATTTTCCCTGGATGTTCACCATTGTTGGGGTGACTTCCTTCTGAAGTCTGTGACCATCTCCTTCGTCTTGCTGGCATTGATCTGAAGAGTGTTGGTCTCACACCACTCAACAAAGTCACTGATGACCCGATGTATTCCTGATGGTTTCCATCTGATACGCATCCACTGATGGCTGTATCATCAGAGAACCTTTGTAGGTGGCACTGGTTGGAATTATAATGGAAGTCGGAGGTGTACAGGCTAAACAGGAAGGGTGAGAGAACTGTGCCCTGCAGCGCCCCCAAGTTGCAGATTACTACCTTCGGCACACAGTAATGGGGTCTCACATACTGTCTGTTGGTTAGATAATCGACACATGCGATCAGTTGGTTGCTCACCCCGGCTCCCTCCAGCTCTCCTCTCAGTAGGGCATGCTGGATGGTGTTGAAAACACTGAAGAAGTCAAAAAACATGATCTTCACAGCACTCCCTGCCTGCTCCAGGTGAGACAAAGAGATAGATAGATAGATAGACAGACAGACAGACAGACAGACAGACAGACAGACAGACAGATAGATGATAGATAGATAGATAGATAGATAGATAGATAGATAGATGATAGATAGATAGATAGATAGATAGATAGATAGATAGATAGATAGATAGATAGATAGATAGATAGATAGATAGACAGACAGACAGACAGACAGATAGATGATAGATAGATAGATAGATAGATAGATAGATAGATAGATAGATAGATAGATAGATAGATAGATGATGATAGATAGATAGATAGATAGATAGATGATAGATAGATAGATAGATAGATAGATAGATAGATAGATAGATAGATGATAGATAGATAGATAGATAGATAGATAGATAGATAGATAGATGATAGATAGATAGATAGATAGATAGATAGATAGATAGATAGATAGATAGATAGATAGATAGATAGATAGATAGATAGATGATAGATAGATAGATAGATAGATAGATAGATAGATAGATAGATAGATAGATAGATAGATAGATAGATAGATAGATAGATAGATAGATGGATGGATGGATGGATGGCAGAGAAGAACCTTGAGAAGGGAACATGATGTTGACAATTAGTTATCATGTGTTCACAGCTGCAGAGAGGCCCGGACTCCAGCTGATGGAATGGCAGGATCCGGCAGATTAAAGGCAACAAATGTAGACTCCTGTCTCCATATGACCAGATACTGAAGAGGTCAAACTGTACATGAAAAACTGACCATTTGTGGACGTTACAGAGTGTAGGAGGAGTTCAGTGAGATCATGAAGCAAGACTTCCGCACTGCGTTGAGGAGATTCTGGTCCATCATCTGGCACCTCAGGAGGGGAAAGCAGTGTTCTACCAACACTGTTTATTGTGGGGATGGTGTGCTGTTGACCACAACTTTGGACTTTGTGGATTGGTAGAAGAAGTACTTTGAAGACTTCCTCAATCCCATTGTCACGTCTTCCAGTGAGGAAGCAGAGTCGGGGGACTTTTAGAATAGACTCCAATCTCTGGAGCTGAGGTTATTGAGGTTGTCAAAAAACTCAGGGTGTGTTTCAACTACAAAATGATCGTACTCCTGAGCCTCCCTGGTAAAGTCTATTCAGGGGTTCTGGAGAGGAGGGTCAGACAAATTGTTGAACCTCAGATTCAGGAGGAACAATGTGGTTTTCATATTAGACGTGGAACACTGGACCAGCTCTACACTTTAGGGGGGTCCTGGAGGGTGAGTGGGAGTTTCCCCAATCAATCTACATGCGTTTTGCGGATTTGAAGAAGGAATTCGACCGTGTCCTCTTGGGTATTATGACCGGTACCAAAGCTTGGTCCGCATTGTCGGCAGTAAGTCAGGCTCATTCCTGCTGAGAGGTGGACTCCGCCAAGGCTGCCCTTTCTCACTGATTCTGTTCATGACATTTATGGACAGATTTTCTAGGCGCAGCCAAGGTGTTCAGGGGATCTATTTTGGTGACCTGTGGATTGGGTCTCTGCTTTTGCAGATGATGTGATCCTGTTGGCTTCATCAGAACGTGATCTCCAGCTTTTGCTGGAGTGGTCTGCAGTCGAGTGTGAAGCGATGAGGTCCTGTCCCAAGTGGAGGAGTTTAAGTGTCTCAGAGTTTTGTTCACAAGTGAAGGAAAAATGGAACACGAGATCGATTGGCAGATTAATGCTGCACCTGCAGTGATGCGAGCATTGTACGGGTCTGTCTTGGTGAAAAGAGAGCTGAGCCGGATCGATCTATGTTCTAACCCTCACCTCTCGGCATAGGCGGCTTCCCCCACAACCTAACTCTTGATAAGCGGATAAAAATGGATAGATGAACTGAAGATAACAAAAAGAAGCTGCAAAAGCTGAAAATTATTGGCAAACCAAGATGTTTTAATTAAAAAAGAATGGTGCTTTTCCGTGTCACAACTGAAAATTTTTCGATACAAATAAAACATAGAATCTGTCATTTTGTTTACAAGATTTCATTTAACTCATTATTCACCTGACACACTAAACGCAAACCTGAGAGAATCAGTGATGTTGTGCTATGTGGAAACTTCTAACCTGAGGTGAGCCATTCAGCCTGGCTGGTTTTGTCGAGTGATTGTGTGTAACTTCACCTTAACGGCAATAGGATTATCTTAGGTGTGTTCTTGCTGTGTCGTGTCTCTAATTCCATGCTAGTTCTTTTTTAAAACACAGAACAGTTTTGTTTACCTGTTTTCCCGCTACGTTTCGTTTGCGGCTGCAAACTTCCTCAGGCTGACGCTGATGGTGGCGTCACTTCCTTCTCCGTTTATCCGCGGGCAGCAGAGGACGTTGTCGCCCTCTGCTGCCCGCTCTCCCCTATCCGATGATGCAGTCCCATGCGCGGTCCAATGAGTAAACTCCATTGTCCCTGTTCATGGTCCCACATCCTTGTCTCCTTATCTCTATGGCTTCTTTTACCCATCTTTTGTATTTTTGTTGTTCGGTGTTTATGATCCTTGAGTTGTCCCAGTCCATTATATGGTTTTCTCTTATGCAGTGATCTGTTACGGCTGACTTCTTTATTGTGCTTTCTGCTTCTTGTTTTGCTGCTCTTGTGTGTCTTCAACTTGTTTCTCTCTCACACTCCTTTCTATGTTCTATTGTTCGTGTGCTGAGTTGGCATCTGGTTTCTCCTGTGTATGTTTTATTGCAGAGTTTGCATGTGATTTCGTAAATGACTCCACATTTAAGTCCAGCTGATATTTTGCCTTTTGGGTGCACTAGTCTGTTTCTAACTGTTGTGTATGGTTTTGTTGGTGTGTTTATGTTGTTTTTTCATTGTTGCTCTTATTTTTTCTGTTATGACTCTGATGTATGGTAGGGTTATCACTGGTTTTGGTTCTTGTCTTTCTGGGTTTCTGGTTCTTTGCTTAGGTTGTTCTTTTCTTTCTGTTGTTGTTTGTTGTTTTCCTTTGTTTATTGCCCATGTCGGGTATCCGCAGGTCTTTAAAGTGTGTTGTATGTGTTTGTCCTCTTGTTTACGATCTCTTTCTTCTGTTACCATGTTTGCTCGGTGATATAGTGTTCTGATTACTGACATTTTGTGTATGGTGGGGTGTTCTGATGTCCATAATAGATATTCGTCTGTGTGTGTTGGTTTCTTATATGTGTTTATGTTTAGGGTCCCGTCGGTCTGCCTGGTGTTTTTCATGTCCATAAATGATATGCTGCCTTCTGTTTCTGTCTCATAAGTGAACTTTAAGCTGCCTGTGTCGTCAATGTTATTTAAGTGTTGTGTTAGTGTTTCTGTTTGTCCTTTTGGTATGATTCCCAGTATGTCGTCTACGTAGCGTTTCCATAGTTTTATTTTACAGTTTGGGGGGGCAGTGGCTACAACTTTTTGTTCCAGGTCTTCCATGAAAAACTCGCACAGGGTGGCTGATAACGGGTTACCCATGGCGAAGCCTTCCAGTTGTTTGTATATTGTGTTGTCGTATGTGAAGTAAGTGGAGTTAGCTACCAGTCCTATCAGTTGTGCTATGTCATCTGCTGTGAGGTTTGTTCTTTTGTGTAAAGTCTTGTCCTGTCTGATTCTGTTAACTACTATGTCTATGTCTACGCCAACTCAACACACGAACAATAGAACATAGAAAGGAGTGCGAGAGAGAAAAGAGTGGAAAACACACAAGAGCAGCAAAACAAGAAGCAGAAAGCACAATAAAGAAGTCAGCCGTAACAGATCACTGCACAAGAGAAAACCATATAATGAACTGGGACAACACAAGGATCATAAACATCGAACAACAAAAATACAAAAGATGGATAAAGGAAGCTATAGAGATAAGGAGACGTGGATGTGGGACCATGAACAGGGACGATGGAGTTTACACGTTGGACCGCGCATGGGATTGCATCATTGTAGAGGGGAGAGCGGGCAGCAGAGGGCGACAACGTCCTCTCCTGCCCGCGTATAAACGGAGAAGGAAGTGACGCCACCATCAGCGTCAACCTGAGGAAGTTTGCAGCCGCAAACGAAACGTAGCGGGAAAACAGGTAAACAAAACTGCTCTGTGTTATAAAAAAGAACTACAGCATGGCAATAGGATTAGATGGTCAGACACACAAATAGAAGCACTCAGCCTTTTCAAGTCCTACCCTGAAAAAGAGCTCAAGGGATGAAGACCTTAAGCGCAGCAGCCTCATAAGGAATCTCCATGTCTTTGTCAGATTCTATTTTCCTTTTAAGCCTGCAGGGAGCTTAACTAAGTAGTATCATTACCTTAATGCTTTATTTACTGTGTTTTAGCAATCATTACAATAAATTCTACCTGTCTCAGCTGCGACCAACAGCCAAGGGTCATCACACCAAAGGTATACATTATGCATTTACCTATTTTTGTTGTAAATATAAAGGATAAATAATTTATGAATGGTGAATAATTACATCTTTCTTCCATCAAATAAAATAATTATACAACACTTCTGTGCTTATCATGGATTGCCCATAATGAACACTATGTTCAGGCATATAAAGGTGTTCATATGTGCTTTTGGCACCAGAATTATTCAGGATTATTGTCGATGATCAATTTTGTTGTCGTCTCATCTGATCTGCAGCTGTGAGCTAATCTGAGTGCTGTGGAGGAAAACAGAAACCAGCAAAGACACAAAGGCAGAAACGGTTTGGGATCAAAAGTGTAACTAAGGGTAGATTAGCTAATGCTAGCGGGTAGCAGGCTCACTATCCACATGATGGTCATGAAACTAAGAACATCTAAACTCTACAGGTGAAAAAAAGGCCTCACCATCCTGTTTATTCTTGGCTGTCTGCAGCACTACGGAGCAGAACCACTGTAGTCAGGTTTGAGTCTGCTAAACACCACAGCAGGATAATGGCAAGCCACTGTAGTATGTAATTCACAAACCCGTCTATCTGTCAACATGGATAATGGATTATTGCTAACCCGTAAATATGTCGCCATTAAATTTTTTGCAGTAGAAAGTAAATGTTAGCATTTCCTGTAGCTCACTATTGAACATGTTAATTTTACTGATCATAGTTTAATTATGGATATATTTACATGATAAAATGTTGTTTTGCATGCTGTTGAACTGTTTTCTAATCATGTTTTGTGAAGGAGAGAAAAAATGTTTCCATATATGTTTTTTTAAATTTTCCCGTTTAATCCGATTAATCGAGTCGAGACCCCATCCGATTCATCGGTGATCCAAATAATCGTTAGTTGCAGCCCTAGCTGATAGGTACTGGTGGTCTATTTTGAAAGGCAGCTCGGGTGGTTGCAGAGGCAAAGACCCAGGCATGAGAGGAGTTCAGTGAGACCATGGAGCAAGAATTTTGCATGGATTAGAGAAGATTCTGGTCCACCATCCGGCGGCTTTGAAGGAAAGGCGGTGTGCTACCAACACAGTTTACAGTGGGGACAGTGTGCTGCTAATAACTCGGCACGTTGTTGATCGGTGGGTGGAGTAGTTCAAAGACCACCCAAATCTCACTTGCTTGTCTTCCAGTGAGGAAGTGGAGTCTGGGGACTTTGGGTTGGGCTCTCCAATTTGTACTGTGGCCACTGAGTAGGTCAATAAGCTCTAAGTGTTTTGTGGATTTGGAGAAGGCATTTGACCATGTCCCACAGGGGTCCCCGTGGGGGTTAGGGTGGTCCCTGTGTGATAGGTGTCAGAGCTCGGTCCTTATTGCCGGCAGTAAGTCGGGCTCATTCCCAGTGAGAGTTGGACTCCGCCAAAGCTGTCTTTTGTCACAGATTCTCGTCATAACTTCTTAGACAGGATTTCTAGGCGAAGCCAAGGTGGTGAGTAGGGATGCAACGATACCACTTTTTTCCAAACCGATACTTGGATCTGAATATTCACCAGTCGTATCGTATCTGCACGGATACCGATACCAGTATCGGTATCGATGCATCCCTAGTGGTGAGGGGATCTGTTTAGGGTTGGGGGGGTGACGTTGGCAAATAGACAGATAGAGACTTCCCTGGTCAGCACTGCACGTTTGTGTTTGTTTATTTATCTGTCTTCTTTTTCTTTCAGATGAGCCAGTGCTTCATGTTCAACAGGGAAGAAGACCAAGACAGAAAGGTACCATCCAGAAAGTTCTGTTCTCTTTTTATTAGTTTCCTTGGAAAGGCAAGGCAGCTTTGTCTGTAGACCGTTTCATACACAGAGGCAAATCAATGTGCTTTCCGTCAGCAAGAATAGCATGAGCGATAAAATAACATGACAGCACAATTAAAGTACACAATTAAATGTAGGTCATATTAAATACACAATTTAATTTCAGATTTAAAAATCAGATTAAAAACCAAGTTAAAGGGTGAGCAGTTACAGTGCAGAAGGTGCAGCATAAGAAACATTCATTCAAAAGCTGATGAATACATGAATGTTTTCACTTTTGACTTGAAGAAATGATTTACGCTAGGGGTTGTATGAACTAGTCGACTAGTCGACCTCACTGCTCTGTAGTGACTTTTTATGCCTGTCATCGACTAGTCGCTTTCACGTGATAATGACCGGCAAGATGCAGTCCTCGGAAAAGACAGCAGGTGACGAGCCCCTCCGCGTCGGGAGGCAAGCGCTGTGCCAGAGCGTCGTTACTGACACCCACCGTAAAACGGACATTTAACCAAATTGTGACCTTTACCCTGTTGCAATTTAACCTTCCCCTCACCCCCATCCTAACCTTAACCAGCTTGCGCATGCAAAGCTCTGATTGTTGACGCGCTCCAGACATCTGTGTCCTGAGCATGGCCACAGTAATGTTATCAAATTAGGTGTCGCCACCTCAAAAACAAATTTAACACGGGATCGTTCATGTCGGCTCATTTCCTTTTATGTTTTCTGTCTTTTATTTGTGCCTGACGCGTTTCACTGCTGTGGAGAGCGGGGCGCATCACCTTGTCCTCCGGTGACGCACCTCACCGTTGCGGCCGGCACACACCCCACTGTTTTTGCGGTCGGTAGATCTTTTAGAACTGCAGTTCAAAGGTAACATGAGGTGAATATATATGAACCCATGTAGTAGCCTAGTTTCTCTTTAGGATTGAGAGGAGATGCAGGAAGATAACAGAGACAGGACAGAAAAATAGTCAAATAAAATCAAGTTAGTTTTTGTACCTGGTGGTTGCAACAAACAGACACCATTGAAGGTAATCAGAAGTGAGGAACAGAAAATGAAATAATTATTTAATGTGTTGAGGGCCTGCCCTCAGAGGGAGCTGCGGGGGCCATCTAGTGGCGAGCGCACGTAACCCCCCCCAAGAGAATAAATAAAAATGTATTCTACCATGAGGGCTCCCACTATCTAAACACAAAATGAAAACCTATCTAACTACCCTGGATCACTGAAGGCGGGCAGATTAAACACGTAATATCACGCGGCGCTGATCCCCAGCGCTGCGGAGTGTTCCCGAGATGTCTGTTTTCACAAACAACACTAGCCTTATATTGGATCCGACATAGAAATAAAAACCTACAAGGGAGCCCCATGATCAAAAGCTGTGAGAGAGAGCATCCGCAATGAGGTTGTCTGAGCCTTTCTTGTGTCGAATCTCCAGATTGAACTCTTGGAGGAGGAGGGCCCACTGCATCAGCCGCTGGTTATGGTTATACATCCGAGAGAGAAAGACGAGTGGGTTGTGGTCTGTAAAGATTAGAGTTGTAAATGAGCTGTTGCCAACATATACATGAAAATGTTGTAGAGCCCAGGTGAGTGCAATAGTTTCCTTTTCGATGGTCGAATAATGTTGTTGTGCATGGTTGAACTTCCGAGAGAAGTAGCATACAGGGTGATCAAGCCCGGTGTCATCCTCCTGTAGGAGGACAGCTCCAGCCTCTGCTTGGCTGGCATCAACCTCCAACTTGAAAGGTCGGGTGAGATCTGAAGCAGCTAAAACAGGAGCGCAACAGAGTAATATTCGCAGAGACACAAAAGCACTTTGGCATTCCGGGGTCCAAGAGAAAGGGACACGAGTACTGAGCGTATCAGTAAGGGGCTGAGCTACCACTGAGAAGTTGCGACAGAAACATCTATAAAACCCAGCCATGCCGAGAAATCTTCGGAGCTCACGGCGGGTGGTTGGAAGAGGAAAAGACACCATGGCTTGGATTTTGTCAGATAAAGCCCGTACTTTACCATGACCCACTTCTTTGCCCAGGTAGCGGACCGTAGCTTTAACAAACTCACACTTAGCTAGGTTCAGAGTGAGATTAGCAGATTTCAGACGATCGAATACTTGCTGGAGGGTCTGGATATGATGATCCCACGACGACGTATAAACGACTGTGTTATCCAGATAAGCACTACAATTTGGTACATCACCCAACACTTGATTTACGAGCCTCTGAAAGGTAGCCGGAGCATTTCTCATGCCAAAGGGCAACACCGTGTACTGTAGGAGATTGTCCGGAGTCACAAAAGCAGATACCTTAGAGGCAAAAGGGGTTAATGGGACTTGCCAGTAGCCTTTTAGAAGATCCAGTCTGGAAACAAACGATGCCGTTCCCACACTATCAACACAGTCATCTATTTGTGGCAAAGGGAATGAATCAGGAACAGTAGCAGCGTTCAATTTACGGTAGTCTGTTACAAGTCTATAAGTACCATCAGATTTGTTTTCTAACAGGCAGGGTGAACTCCATGAGCTGGTGCTTGGCTTTGCTTGGCCGTTCATGAGCAAGTAATTTACCTCTTGTTTCATTAACTCACACTTATGAGGGCTCGCGTGGTAGGGGTGCATCCGTACAGGCGTAGGGTCAGAAAGGGTGATGTCGTGGGTGATGAGATGAGTCTGGGAAGGAGTATCTGAAAACAACTCAGGAAATTAGTGAATTAATTCTTGTAATTCTTCCTGCTGTGCTGGAGAGAGATGTTCTAAGCAGTTAGAAATGTTCTAAAGGGTTTCAGAATTGCTCAGACGAGGAGTAACAAGAGGACCCATGGTAAGAGGAGGAGAGGGCATTTCTAGATCGGGTGGCTGCGAAACAACAGCGGCGGCTACAACACCAGACAGAGATGGGTTCGCGTCTCTACTACAAAACAACTTAAGCCTGTTGATGTGGCAAACTTTAGTCTCTATGCATCAAAGGGGTTTTTATAACATAATTACGTTCATCCAGTTTGGACATCACTTCGAAGGGACCCTCAAACTTAGGAGACAGCGAGGAACCAACAGTAGGATTTAGGAGTAGCACTTGGTCTCCTACTTGTAGAACACGAGAACTAGACTTTCTGTCAAAACGCCTCTTCATGGAGGCCTTAGCAGTTCTGAAGTGTTGTTGAACTAACTGATTAGCTGCCTGGAGTCTTTTCTGGAAGGAGCTTACATAGGATGGAATACTAGTAGTAACAGACGGAACTGGCCAAAGAAATCGTTCTTTCAAAGTCTTCAAGGGGCCCCTAGGGGCATGACCGAACAGGAACTGATTAGGGCTGAAACCAGTGGAGTCCTGTACTGCATCCCTAGAGGCAAACAACACAAATGGAAGACCTTCTTCCCAAGTTCGACCCGAGGAGAAACAATGTTTCTTGAGCATGGTCTTCAAAGTCTGATGTGACCTCTCAAGGACACCCTGGCTTTCGGGATGATAACTAGAGGAAGTGACATGCTTTATATTCAATGTTTTGGCAACCTGCGCAAAGACCCGAGAGGTGAAGTTGGTCCCGTGGTCTGATTGGATGACTGTGGGTAAGTCGAAAATAGAGAAAAAACCTGTGAGTGCTTTTATTACATTTTTGGTGGTAATGGAGGACAAAGGAACAGCTCCCGGGAAACGAGTGGCTGAACATATAATGGTAAGCAAATATCTACGTCCCGACTTAGATGGAGGAAGAGGCCCTACACAGTCTATGATGATGTGGTCAAAGGGGGTCGAAACCACAGGGGTTGGATGTAATGGAACCGGTTGAATCATTTGATTTGGGTTTCCTACAACCTGACAAGTAGCACAGCTATGACAAAACTCCGAAACGTGTCGTTTCAGACCCGTCCAGAAGAAGTGGTGCAGGATGGCCAGATAAGTCTTATTTATACCCAAATGTCCAGCCCACTCGCACTCATGAGCCAACGAGAGAACATCATTTCGAAAAACCTCAGGGACCACAATCTGTTTAACTTGGGCCCATTCGGAACCTTATGCTGAGGCCGGAGTCCAGAGGCGAAACAAAATGTCACCCTCAACCACATACGAAGCCTGACCCGCGGGGGATGTCGGAGCCACACCAACCAGCGCAAAATAGGGTTTCAGGGATTCATCTGATTTTTGCGCTTCCGCAAAGATCTTATAAGAGATGGGTAAATCTGGAAGTGGTTCTTTAGAGGCTAGATCAGGCGCTTTTACAGTCGGACCTGGTCGGGTGACATCATCAGTCAATAGCGGAAACAGTACTGAGTCCCTAAGTGAGATTTTGGGATCTTTCTTAAGTGTAGCACGGGTTAGGACACAAGCCAGCAATAAACTGATCCGGCACAGCTCTCAGGAGAAGAGATGAGCTCAGGAGGGGGTAACACTAGTCCACCTGCAGCGTTGTTTCCTAAAATCAAGTCTACTCCCTGGGTCGGCAATTCGTCTAAAATGGCTACCCTTAGGTCACCAGTAATCAAAGGGCAGTTGAGGTGAATATGATGAACCTCCGCCGGAACTGAACCCATTTCAATACCCCGCAGCAACACAGAGTAGCCAGCCTGGCTGGTGACAGAGAACGGTAACACACACACCGTTTTATCAGGGTTTGAGAAGCTCCGGTGTCTCTTAAAATGACCACTTCCTGGTTAATATTGCTGCCTAACAGAGACACCACTCCAGCAGACAAAAACAGCTTAAAGCTCGAGTGAGGGGCTTCACATTTATCCACACTTTGTGAGCTCTTAGCACAAGCAGCTATGAGCTTCGTCGGAGGTGGGTTTCCACTCCTCCGGTTTTTCTGCAGGAGGAGAGGGCAGTCAAGAATGAGATGACCTCTCTTGTGACAATAGAAACATTCCGGTGGGACATCATACTCAGAAGAAGTAGTAGAGGGTCTCCTACTTCGAACGGGGTCAGTTCTTGACTTCCAGGACCGATGAGTTAAAGTAAACTCGTCG